AGAGAGAGAGAGAGAGAGAGAGAGAGGCAGAGAGAGAGAGAGAGAGGCAGAGAGAGAGAGGCAGAGAGAGAGAGAGAGGCAGAGAGAGAGAGAGGCAGAGAGAGAGAGAGAGAGAGAGAGAGAGAGAGAGAGAGAGAGAGAGAGAGAGAGAGAGAGAGAGAGAGAGAGAGAGGCAGAGAGAGAGAGAGAGAGGCATGTCTGTTGTGTGTCCACATGTCTGTTGTGTGTCCACATGTCTGTTGTGTGTCCACATGTCTGTTGTGTGTCCACATGTCTGTTGTGTGTCCACATGTCTGTTGTGTGTGTGAAGAAGTGTATTCTTCAGACGCAGCTGTTTATAAAAAGATTTCTGAGGATTACATCATTCTTATGTAACGCATCAAGAGCAGAGACACAGACGTACAACAGGATCCACAGACGTACAACAGGATCCACAGACGTACAACAGGATCCACAGACGTACAGCAGGATCCACAGGCGTACAACAGGATCCACAGACGTACAACAGGATCCACAGACGTACGGCAGGATCCACAGACGTACGGCAGGATCCATAGGTGTACAACAGGATCCACAGACGTATAACAGGATCCACAGACGTATAACAGGATCCACAGGCGTATAACAGGATCCACAGGCGTATAACAGGATCCACAGGCGTATAACAGGATCCACAGGCGTATAACAGGATCCACAGGCGTATAACAGGATCCACAGACGTATAACAGGATCCACAGGCGTATAACAGGATCCACAGACGTACGGCAGGAACCACTTTTGGACCAAGAACCACTTTTGGACCAAGAACCACTTTCAGACCATCCTGTGAAGAGGTTTTCCAGAGGAAAGAAGACTCCATACAAAAGCATTGGGTAATTCTCTTTCCGGGTACACCCCCACCGGGGGCTCAAATGTTCTTAATAAAAGTGTCTCAGTCCTGGTAAAGAAAGCAGTGTAATGAAATCCCTTGTTCCTCTCAAGGGCGGCACGGTGGCTGAGTGGATAGCACTCTCGCCTCTCAGCATGAAGGTCCTGGGTTCAAATCCCGGTCGGACCAGGGCCTTTCTGAGTGGAGTTTGCATGTTCTCCCCGTGTCTGCGTAGGTTTCCTCCGGGTACTCCGGTTTCTCCTACCACTAAAAACATGCACAATAGTTCTGGCATGTGCCTCCTGTACTGACCCCGCTCCCATCTCTGTGTGGAGTGAGAGACAAATGCCCAAAAATAATAACAATTGTAAACCGCTTTGAGACTCAGATCTGCAGTGAAAAGGCGGTATATAAATAAAAGATTACTTACTTACTTACTCATGGTTCTGTCGCTGGTGTCCATGTTGCTCTCAGCTCTGTCCCTATGAGTCAAATAGTGACTCACAGGGACCTTTGTTAGAGTACAGTACCTGTGTTGATCTGACCCTGACCTTCTCGTCCCCAGGAGCCGGAGCCCAGCCTCCTGCCCGAGATGAAGGCCCAGGACCAGGGCAAGATCTGTGTGGTCATCGACCTGGACGAGACCCTGGTGCACAGCTCCTTCAAGGTACAGGGGACTGGGGACCGGGTCTCAACCTGGACCAGGGTCTCTACAGTTGGACCAGGGTCTCTGCAGTTGGACCAGGGTCTCTACAGTTGGACCAGGGTCTCTGCAGCAGGACCAGGGTCTCTGCAGTTGGACCAGGGTCTCTGCAGCAGGACCAGGGTCTCTGCAGTTGGACCAGGGTCTCTGCAGCAGGACCAGGGTCTCTGCAGTTGGACCAGGGTCTCTGCAGCAGGACCAGGGTCTCTGCAGTTGGACCAGGGTCTCTACAGTTGGACCAGGGTCTCTGCAGTTGGACCAGGGTCTCTGCAGTTGGACCAGGGTCTCTGCAGCAGGACCAGGGTCTCTGCAGTTGGACCAGGGTCTCTGCAGCAGGACCAGGGTCTCTGCAGTTGGACCAGGGTCTCTGCAGCAGGACCAGGGTCTCTTCAGTTGGACCAGGGTCTCTGCAGTTGGACCAGGGTCTCTGCAGTTGGACCAGGGTCTCTGCAGCAGGACCAGGGTCTCTACAGTTGGACCAGGGTCTCTGCAGTTGGACCAGGGTCTCTGCAGTTGGACCAGGGTCTCTGCAGCAGGACCAGGGTCTCTGCAGTTGGACCAGGGTCTCTACAGTTGGACCAGGGTCTCTGCAGCAGTGTGTGTGTCTGTGTGTGTGTGTGTGCGTGTGTGTGTAACCTTTTGTTCTCTTGTGTCCAGCCGGTGAGTAACGCAGACTTCGTGGTCCCGGTGGAGATCGAGGGCACCACGCACCAGGTGAGCTCACACCATGTGGATTTGGAAGATTCTCTGTTTTTAGTCTTTAATTTAGTGCCTGTTTTTGGCGGGAAAGGGGTGTGTCTGCTTCTGCTGGAGGCAAAGGGAGCCCCCTGCTGGTCACTGCCGGAACTGCACAGACACACTACACTACACTACAACACACTACAACACACTACACTACAACACACTACACTACACTACAACACACTACAACACACTACACTACAACACACTACACTACAACACACTACAACACACTACACTACACTACAACACACTACACTACACTACAACACACTACAACACACTACACTACACTACAACACACTACACTACACTACAACACACTACACTACACTACAACACACTACACTACACTACACTACAACACACTACACTACAACACACTACAACACACTACACTACACTACAACACACTACACTACACTACAACACACTACAACACACTACACTACACTACACTACAACACACTACACTACACTACAACACACTACACTACACTACAACACACTACACTACACTACACTACACTACACTACAACACACTACACTACACTACAACACACTACACTACACTACAACACACTACACTACAACACACTACAACACACTACACTACACTACAACACACTACACTACACTACAACACACTACACTACACTACAACACACTACACTACACTACACTACAACACACTACACTACACTACAACACACTACAACACACTACACTACACTACAACACACTACAACACACTACACTACACTACAACACACTACACTACACTACAACACACTACACTACACTACACTACAACACACTACACTACAACACACTACAACACACTACACTACACTACAACACACTACAACACACTACACTACACTACAACACACTACAACACACTACACTACACTACAACACACTACAACACACTACACTACAACACACTACACTACACTACAACACACTACACTACACTACAACACACTACACTACAACACACTACACTACACTACAACACACTACACTACACTACAACACACTACAACACACTACAACACACTACACTACACTATACTACACACTACAACACACTACACTACACTACAAAACACTACACTACACTACAACACACTACAACACACTACACTACACTACAACACACTACAACACACTACACTACACTACAACACACTACACTACAATACAACACACTACAACACACTACACTACACTACACTACACTACACTACAACACACTACACTACACTACAACACACTACACTACAACACACTACACTACAACACACTACACTACACTACAACACACTACAACACACTACACTACAACACACTACACTACACTACAACACACTACAACACACTACACTACACTACACTACAACACACTACAACACACTACACTACACTACAACACACTACAACACACTACACTACACTACAACACACTACAACACACTACAACACACTACACTACACTACACTACACTACACTACAACACACTACAACACACTACACTACACTACAACACACTACACTACACTACAACACACTACACTACAACACACTACAACACACTACACAACACTACAACACACTACACTACAATACAACACACTACACTACAATACAACACACTACACTGCACTACTAGCTAAGCAGGGCAGGGCCTGGTCAGTACTGTGATGGGAGACCTCTGGGAACAGCAGGTGCCACAGTGGGGCCATGATGTCCGTCAGTGTGCCCCAGGGCAGCTGTGGCTACAGTAGTTGTTCACTGTGTTTGGAGAGAGAGAATTATGATTTGAAGAGACTTTGAGAGTCTGAGAATTGTAAATTAAAACCCATTAAACAAAACACCACACATTCAAATTGTCAGTTTATGTCTGATGCTGTGGCCACAAAGTCATCGATCAGCAGATATTTTTTCCCGAAAGACCTGTGTGACTCCACATCCTGCAGGAGGAGACTCAGACCATGGCCGGGTTCAAGTAATCCAGGATAGGCTGTTTACTCACACGGCCTATTCTCGATTACTTGCTTCTGGACGTGGTCGCGACGACTGGATGAAAACAGCTGAAAAAACCTACACAAAGTTATTGTGTAGGTTTGTATCAGACCAGTTTGTGACAAAAAAGATTTTTTGCCAACCATTCAAATGTGAGGATAAGGTTAGGGTTCAGAACAGTTACCTTGAGTAAGTCCCCAAGATGTCTGCCCCTGGTCTCTCCAAGATGTCTGCCCCTGGTCTCTCTAAGATGTCTGCCCCTGGTCTCTCCAAGATGTCTGCCCCTGGTCTCTCCAAGATGTCTGCCCCTGGTCTCTCCAAGATGTCTGCCCCTGGTCTCTCCAAGATGTCTGCCCCTGGTCTCTCCAAGATGTCTGCCCTGGTCTCTCCAAGATGTCTGCCCCTGGTCTCTCCAAGATGTCTGCCCCTGGTCTCTCCAAGATGTCTGCCCCTGGTCTCTCCAAGATGTCTGCCCCTGGTCTCTCCAAGATGTCTGCCCCTGGTGTCTCTAAGATGTCTGCCCCTGGTCTCTCCAAGATGTCTGCCCCTGGTCTCTCCAAGATGTCTGCCCCTGGTCTCTCCAAGATGTCTGCCCCTGGTCTCTCCAAGATGTCTGCCCCTGGTCTCTCTAAGATGTCTGCCCCTGGTCTCTCCAAGATGTCTGCCCCTGGTCTCTCTAAGATGTCTGCCCCTGGTCTCTCCAAGATGTCTGCCCCTGGTCTCTCCAAGATGTCTGCCCCTGGTCTCTCCAAGATGTCTGCCCCTGGTCTCTCCAAGATGTCTGCCCCTGGTCTCTCCAAGATGTCTGCCCCTGGTCTCTCCAAGATGTCTGCCCCTGGTCTCTCCAAGATGTCTGCCCCTGGTCTCTCTAAGATGTCTGCCCCTGGTCTCTGTCTGAAGTGACTAATTTCCTCCCGGTCTTACTCGGTCTTCCTTAAAAAGTCTTTGTCTGTAAATAAAAGTAGGTGTTTTGAGCGTCTTGATTGACAGTTGTAGAGTGAGCCCTGTACCTGTGATCCGCAGGTGACAGTTGTAGAGTGACCCCTGTACCTGTGATCCGCAGGTGACAGTTGTAGAGTGACCCTGTACCTGTGATCCGCAGGTGACAGTTGTAGAGTGAGCCCTGTACCTGTGATCCGCAGGTGACAGTTGTAGAGTGAGCCCTGTACCTGTGATCCGCAGGTGACAGTTGTAGAGTGAGCCCTGTACCTGTGATCCGCAGGTGACAGTTGTAGAGTGACCCTGTACCTGTGATCCGCAGGTGACAGTTGTAGAGTGACCCTGTACCTGTGATCCGCAGGTGACAGTTGTAGAGTGACCCCTGTACCTGTGATCCGCAGGTGACAGTTGTAGAGTGACCCCTGTACCTGTGATCCGCAGGTGACAGTTGTAGAGTGACCCCTGTACCTGTGATCCGCAGGTGACAGTTGTAGAGTGACCCCTGTACCTGTGATCCGCAGGTGACAGTTGTAGAGTGACCCTGTACCTGTGATCCGCAGGTGACAGTTGTAGAGTGAGCCCTGTACCTGTGATCCGCAGGTGACAGTTGTAGAGTGAGCCCTGTACCTGTGATCCGCAGGTGACAGTTGTAGAGTGAGCCCTGTACCTGTGATCCGCAGGTGACAGTTGTAGAGTGAGCCCTGTACCTGTGATCCGCAGGTGACAGTTGTAGAGTGACCCTGTACCTGTGATCCGCAGGTGACAGTTGTAGAGTGACCCTGTACCTGTGATCCGCAGGTGACAGTTGTAGAGTGACCCCTGTACCTGTGATCCGCAGGTGACAGTTGTAGAGTGAGCCCTGTACCTGTGATCCGCAGGTGACAGTTGTAGAGTGACCCTGTACCTGTGATCCGCAGGTGACAGTTGTAGAGTGACCCTGTACCTGTGATCCGCAGGTGACAGTTGTAGAGTGACCCTGTACCTGTGATCCGCAGGTGACAGTTGTAGAGTGACCCTGTACCTGTGATCCGCAGGTGACAGTTGTAGAGTGAGTGTCCCTGTACCTGTGATCCGCAGGTGACAGTTGTAGAGTGAGCCCTGTACCTGTGATCCGCAGGTGACAGTTGTAGAGTGACCCCTGTACCTGTGATCCGCAGGTGACAGTTGTAGAGTGACCCTGTACCTGTGATCCGCAGGTGACAGTTGTAGAGTGACCTGTACGTGATCCCTGTGACTGTGATCCGCTGTGGTGACAGTTGTAGAGTGACCCTGTACCTGTGATCCGCAGGTGACAGTTGTAGAGTGACCCTGTACCTGTGATCCGCAGGTGACAGTTGTAGAGTGACCCTGTACCTGTGATCCGCAGGTGACAGTTGTAGAGTGAGCCCTGTACCTGTGATCCGCAGGTGACAGTTGTAGAGTGACCCTGTACCTGTGATCCGCAGGTGACAGTTGTAGAGTGACCCTGTACCTGTGATCCGCAGGTGACAGTTGTAGAGTGACCCCTGTACCTGTGATCCGCAGGTGACAGTTGTAGAGTGACCCTGTACCTGTGATCCGCAGGTGTACGTGATGAAGAGGCCGTACGTGGACGAGTTTCTGCAGCGGATGGGGGAGCTGTTTGAGTGTGTGCTCTTCACTGCCAGTCTGGCCAAGGTCTGTAGCACGGGGAGAACATGCATCTACCTCACGTCTCCCAGGACTGACTGGGTCTGACTGGGTCTGACTGGGTCTGACTGGGTCTGACATGATTCCCTTCTGTGCCTTATGTTTAGAGCAGTATCTTTCTCACCCTGTTTTGCTCACTTCAAAATGAAAAGGTAGATTACTACACATCCAGATTCATTTATTTGCCCTTTGCAGTAAAACCACATTGGAATAGATTTACAAAGGTCCCCAGTGTGCAGCAGCCGAGTACATACACAGTGTTAGAAGTACAGATAAAAACTGCATTCATTATATTTATATTTATATTTATAATGTCCTCCCTCAGCTCCGCTTGTAGCACATGTAGCTAGTGGAAGTGGCCCTCCTCACCCCTCTCCTCACCCCTCTCCTCACCCCTCTCCTCCCCCCTCTCCTCCCTCTCCTTATCCCCTCCTCTCCTCCCTCCTCCCCCCCCCGCCCCTCAGTATGCAGACCCGGTGACAGACCGTCTGGACCAGTCGGGGGTGTTCCGGGCGCGGCTGTTCCGGGAGTCGTGTGTGTTCCATCAGGGCTGTTACGTCAAAGACCTGAGTCGTCTGGGCCGAGACCTGAGCAAGACCCTGATCCTGGACAACTCTCCCGCCTCCTACATCTTCCACCCCCACAACGCGGTGAGACCCCCCCCTCTGTCACCCCCACAACGCGGTGAGACCCCCCCCTCTGTCACCCCCACAACGCGGTGAGACCCCCCCCCCCCTCTGTCACCCCCACAACGCGGTGAGACCCCCCCCTCTGTCACCCCCACAACGCGGTGAGACCCCCCCTCTGTCACCCCCACAACGCGGTGAGACCCCCCCCCCCTCTGTCACCCCCACAACGCGGTGAGACCCCCCCCTCTGTCACCCCCACAACGCGGTGAGACCCCCCCCCCCTCTGTCACCCCCACAACGCGGTGAGACCCCCCCCCCTCTGTCACCCCCACAACGCGGTGAGACCCCCCCCTCTGTCACCCCCACAACGCGGTGAGACCCCCCCTCTGTCACATGTCACATTTATGGTCTTACCCCCCCCTCTGTCACATGTCACATTTATGGTCTACCCCCCCCTCTGTCACATGTCACATTTATGGTCTACCCCCCCCCCCCTGTCACATGTCACATTTATGGTCTTACCCCCCCCCCCCCCCTCTGTCACATGTCACATTTATGGTCTACCCCCCCCCCCTCTGTCACATGTCACATTTATGGTCTTACCCCCCCCCCCTGTCACATGTCACATTTATGGTCTACCCCCCCCCTCTGTCACATGTCACATTTATGGTCTACCCCCCCCCCCCTGTCACATGTCACATTTATGGTCTACCCCCCCCCCCCCCTGTCACATGTCACATTTATGGTCTTACCCCCCCCCTGTCACATGTCACATTTATGGTCTACCCCCCCCCCCCCTGTCACATGTCACATTTATGGTCTTACCCCCCCCCCCTCTGTCACATGTCACATTTATGGTCTACCCCCCCCCCTGTCACATGTCACATTTATGGTCTTCCCCCCCCCCCTGTCACATGTCACATTTATGGTCTACCCCCCCCCCCCTCTGTCACATGTCACATTTATGGTCTCTACCCCCCCCTCTGTCACATGTCACATTTATGGTCTTACCCCCCCCCCCCCTCTGTCACATGTCACATTTATGGTCTACCCCCCCCCCCCCTCTGTCACATGTCACATTTATGGTCTTACCCCCCCCCCTCTGTCACATGTCACATTTATGGTCTTACCCCCCCCCCTGTCACATGTCACATTTATGGTCTTACCCCCCCCCCTGTCACATGTCACATTTATGGTCTTACCCCCCCCCTGTCACATGTCACATTTATGGTCTACCCCCCCCCCCCCTCTGTCACATGTCACATTTATGGTCTACCCCCCCTCTGTCACATGTCACATTTATGGTCTTACCCCCCCCCCTGTCACATGTCACATTTATGGTCTACCCCCCCCTCTGTCACATGTCACATTTATGGTCTACCCCCCCCCCCATCTGTCACATGTCACATTTATGGTCTTACCCCCCCCCCTGTCACATGTCACATTTATGGTCTTACCCCCCCCCCATCTGTCACATGTCACATTTATGGTCTTACCCCCCCCCCCTGTCACATGTCACATTTATGGTCTACCCCCCCCCCTGTCACATGTCACATTTATGGTCTACCCCCCCTCTGTCACATGTCACATTTATGGTCTACCCCCCCCCCCTCTGTCACATGTCACATTTATGGTCTTACCCCCCCCCCCCTGTCACATGTCACATTTATGGTCTACCCCCCCCCCCCTGTCACATGTCACATTTATGGTCTACCCCCCCCCCCCCCCTGTCACATGTCACATTTATGGTCTACCCCCCCCCCCCCCCTGTCACATGTCACATTTATGGTCTTACCCCCCCCCCCCCCTCTGTCACATGTCACATTTATGGTCTTACCCCCCCCCCCTGTCACATGTCACATTTATGGTCTCCCCCCCCCCCCCCTCTGTCACATGTCACATTTATGGTCTACCCCCCCCTCTGTCACATGTCACATTTATGGTCTACCCCCCCCCCCCTCTGTCACATGTCACATTTATGGTCTACCCCCCCCCCTGTCACATGTCACATTTATGGTCTTACCCCCCCCCCCCTGTCACATGTCACATTTATGGTCTACCCCCCCCCCCTCTGTCACATGTCACATTTATGGTCTTACCCCCCCCCCCCCTCTGTCACATGTCACATTTATGGTCTACCCCCCCCCCTCTGTCACATGTCACATTTATGGTCTACCCCCCCCTCTGTCACATGTCACATTTATGGTCTTACCCCCCCCCCCCCCCCCCTCTGTCACATGTCACATTTATGGTCTACCCCCCCCTCTGTCACATGTCACATTTATGGTCTTACCCCCCCCCCCTGTCACATGTCACATTTATGGTCTACCCCCCCCCCTGTCACATGTCACATTTATGGTCTACCCCCCCTCTGTCACATGTCACATTTATGGTCTACCCCCCCCCCCCTCTGTCACATGTCACATTTATGGTCTTACCCCCCCCCCCTGTCACATGTCACATTTATGGTCTTACCCCCCCCCCCTCTGTCACATGTCACATTTATGGTCTTACCCCCCCCTCTGTCACATGTCACATTTATGGTCTTACCCCCCCCCCCCCTCTGTCACATGTCACATTTATGGTCTACCCCCCGTCGCACCTGGTCTGTCCATGGATCGTAGAGATCTGGACCATGGACAGCTCTTATAATCTATATATAAATAAATATTAAAATAATAATAATGTGTGTGGACTGACAGAAGGGTGTGTGTTCAGGTCCCAGTCCTGTCTTGGTTCGATGACCTGGAGGACGCTGAGCTGCTCAACCTTCTGCCGGTGTTTGAGGAGCTGAGCCAGGCCCAGGACGTGTACTCCTGTCTGGACCAACTGCGCTGCGCCTGAACGCATCACGAGGACCGCAACAGCCACGAGGACCGCAACAGCCACGAGGACCGCAACAGCCACGAGGACCGCAACAGCCACGAGGACCGCAACAGCCACGAGAGGACCGCAACAGCCACGAGGACCGCAACAGCCACGAGGACCGCAACAGCCACGAGGACCGCAACAGCCACGAGGACCGCAACAGCCACGAGGACCGCAACAGCCACGAGGACCGCAACAGCCACGAGGACCGCAGCAGCCACGAGGACCGCAACAGCCACGAGGACCGCAACAGCCACGAGGACCGCAACAGCCACGAGGACCGCAACAGCCACGAGGACCGCAACAGCCACGAGGACCGCAACAGCCACGAGGACCGCAACAGCCACGAGGACCGCAACAGCCACGAGGACCGCAACAGCCACGAGGACCGCAACAGCCACGAGGACCGCAACAGCCACGAGGACCGCAACAGCCACGAGGACCGCAACAGCCACGAGGACCGCAACAGCCACGAGGACCGCAACAGCCACGAGGACCGCAACAGCCACGAGGACCGCAACAGCCACGAGGACCGCAACAGCCACGAGGACCGCAACAGCCACGAGGACCGCAACAGCCACGAGGACCGCAGCAGCCACGAGGACCGCAGCAGCCACGAGGACCGCAACAGCCACGAGGACCGCAACAGCCACGAGGACCGCAACAGCCACGAGGACCGCAACAGCCACGAGGACCGCAACAGCCACGAGGACCGCAACAGCCACGAGGACCGCAACAGCCACGAGGACCGCAACAGCCACGAGGACCGCAACAGCCACGAGGACCGCAACAGCCACGAGGACCGCAACAGCCACGAGGACCGCAACAGCCACGAGGACCGCAACAGCCACGAGGACCGCAACAGCCACGAGGACCGCAACAGCCACGAGGACCGCAACAGCCACGAGGACCGCAACAGCCACGAGGACCGCAACAGCCACGAGGACCGCAACAGCCACGAGGACCGCAACAGCCACGAGGACCGCAACAGCCACGAGGACCGCAGCAGCCACGAGGACCGCAGCAGCCACGAGGACCGCAACAGCCACGAGGACCGCAACAGCCACGAGGACCGCAACAGCCACGAGGACCGCAACAGCCACGAGGACCGCAACACACACTGCGCTTGAACGCATCACGGGGACCCATCACACACTACTACAGCCTCAGTCCCTGAACGCACCACTAACTCCCACAGCTTGTACTGAGGGATGGCTAACCGCTAACGGGCTAAGAATCGCCTTTCCTTGTAACCAGCCGGACCCTCACACCAGCGGCGAGCACACCAGCAGCAGAGGAGGAGGAGGAGGAGGAGGAGGAGGAGGAGGAGGAGGAGGAGGAGGAGTTTTGACTTCAGATGGTCTTCTTGCGGTTAATCCAACCCTGTGTGTGACGTCACATTCCCACACCTCCACTGAAGTATGAAGCTGTTTGGTTCTTCTGCACCAGTTAGCGATGTTAGCTTGATCTGAACACGTCACGGTAATAACATGGCTAACTCACTGGTTCTACTTTATTTCTACTACGAAGACAAGATGAATCCACTAAAATATGACGGCACAGATTAACGAGCACAAGATGGTACGTGGAAGTCAAACGCAGCAGGGTAAAAACATCACAAACTGAAACGGCTTCTGATTCTCTGCATCTGTCCAGTCCAGACGCCGTTTTCCAGACGCCGTTTTCCAGACGCCGTTTTCCAGACGCCGTTTTCCAGACGCCGTTTTCCAGACGCCGTTTTCCAGACGCCGTTTTCCAGACGCCGTTTTCCAGACTGTAACGTTTGAGCTTAAAATCCAGGACAAACTGTGAGATCCAGAGCTGCCCAAACAAACACAAGCTGCACAACCACTGTTCGAAAGCACAAAGCCATCGCCAACAACACAGTTAGCCGTTAGCCGTTAGCAGTTAGCCGTTAGCAGTTAGCAGTTAGCCGTTAGCAGGAACGAAAAGTGTTTTTTGCCAAAGCAGAAGCCTTCCTGTTCTGACTTGACTTGTCCATGTTGTGTTTCTATCGTCATGGTGCCTTCCCGGAACAATATCAGCCTTTTTAAACCTTTTCATCCATTTTTATACATATGACGTTGGTTGTTTTTATAGGTTCCTGTTTTTATAATGAGATCTATTTTTCGAGCCGTGAACGTGGCTCTTTCTATGCAACCCAGCGATTTATGAAGAGTACCTCAAACCCTGAACCAGTGTGACTTCTGACCGCAGTCATTACAAGAACTGAGGGTTTTCTGGTGCATTATTTATATTATGTTCCCTGGAAAAAAACAAAATACTTAGTTTTGGGTTTTACAATATGACTCCAAACACTGGGAAACGTACCTGTGATCTCACTTTCATGTGTTGCAGTGTTTTGCCTGAAAACAATGGTATCTCACGAAGAGCAGCCAGTGTTTTTAGCCGTTATAGAATTAGATAAGTCATAGAAATACATGAGATGTGATCAGGCTACAGCCCAGTTCAGCCCAGTTCAGCCCAGTTTGGATCTCCCACTGAAAGGCTCTCTCCTGCTCAGAGTCCGCACTGGTTTAGCGAAGCCTTATTACTGTTAACGTCAGATGAGGACTTTACTCTGAGCTCTGTACGCAGTGCTGTAGAGTCATATCGGACCCAAACACATGGACCATGAGAAGACACTGGAAGATCAGCTGGCACACAGGAAGTCCATTCTCACGGTTTCTAGGCCAAGTTTAAATACGTTTTGTGTTTTTTTTATGCACTGCGCCAAAGGACGAGTCTACATTTGTTGACGGCGTTGAGTCCAGAATGAAAAGACTGTATGAAGCCATGGACGCAGCCGTTTTCTGTCTTTCAAAATCCTCTTAATGAGTTTGGGTCATGATTAACTAAAGGCGTAGAATGAGTTAAGAGGGTGTTTTGGAATGAATGTATTTATTTGACTTTGGCCGAAGTCACGAGTCCATGTCAGTCCATATCCTCCAAGTATTTAGCGCGGTACAGTTCTCTTCTGCCTTGACGACCTCAAACCGGTGTAGACTCCTCCTCTCCGCGGTGCCAAACAGACGGTGCCTTGCTTCATTATGGACAGAGTCTTTTTGGGGCTTTTTGTTTTCAGAATTGAGGCCTGAACCTTAGTGTCATGCTGTGCGTGAAACACTGTCAAAGCAGAGCCACACGGGGGCGCTGCAGAGCTACACTTGAAATTATATGGAAAGTGATGATTTTCAGATGTAGTACTGTTTTTATATTTATTGGACAGGGTTTTCCTCGTCCGATACTTTCTAATGCATTTTGTATTGTGCTGATGTAGCCTGTATCGAGGCCTTCTGTAATGTTCATGTGTGCCTAAAGCAGCGTGGGAGGAGCTAAGGCCGAGTCGCAGTACAGACGTGTGCAACATGCTGTACTTCATAAAGAGACGTCTTCTGCCTCATCCAACACAGACCCGGAGTGGTTTTTTCCACTCTAAAGTTCTTTACAGCTGTGTGTCGTTCCCCTGCGCTAACTCCTAAACCATTGTTTTTCTACTTAAAGCTGAGGTGAAATGTTGGAAACAAATTAGACCGAGCCTGTGGAGACACACCCTCTCTGGGCCGAGAGCTGATTGGCCGAGAGCTGATTGGCTGAGAGTTGATTGGGTGAGAGTTGATTGGCTGAGAGCTGATTGGCTGAGAGTTGATTGGCTGAGAGTTGATTGGCTGAGAGCTGATTGGCTGAGAGCTGATTGGCTGAGAGTTGATTGGCTGAGAGTTGATTGGCTGAGAGTTGATTGGCTGAGAGTTGATTGGCTGAGAGCTGATTGGCTGAGAGTTGATTGGCTGTGAGCTGATTGGCCGTGAGCTGATTGGCCGTGAGCTGATTGGCTGAGAGAGGGTGGTCCTCTGTAAATGTGACAGAAGCAGCTTTACTAGATTAAGATGAAGAGATCCTTTATTTGTCCCACAGTGGGTAAATGTCGGTGTTGCATCACATGGCGCTCTTTGCTGTAGTTCTTCACATTCTAAAACATGAAATGCCAAAGTAAAGTCTTTAAAATGGATCATAAACAAAGCCTCATGTTTGCTCTTGGGCGTCTGCATTTGTTCTCTGAATGTATAAAGGAGGATTTTCCCACATTTTAGGAAAGAACCGCCCTCTCCACTCTCTGCTCCTATTGGACGAGCACGTATCACCAGAATGATTGACAGTTAGGAGGACCAATGGTCTTGATCCTAACCCATGGGTAGAGAATCCTCCTTTATACCTTTAGCGTCTGCATTTGTTGGAGTGTGTACTTTCACTCTCTGCTGGTCCTGTCCTTTCATGGTTCCTTCTGTTTGAAGATGTTTCTGTTGAAAGACCAAAAACTCGCCACAAAGAAAAGATGAAGCGTCTTTGAACCAACTTTTATCTGATTTAACCAAATGGAAAAGAATGTGGTGTTTTTCCAAAATAAAGAAATATGTTCAATTTGACTCTGTTTTATGTGCAGACACACACACATTTACACATATGTACACACACAGACACATGCACACACACACACACATTTACACACATGTACAACACACAGACACACATGTACACACACAGACACACATTTACACACATGTACAACACACAGACACACATGTACACACACAGACACACATTTACACACGTACACACACACATGTACACGTACAGACACACATGTACACACACAGACATACAGACACACATATACACACACACATGTAGACACATACACACACAGACACACTTGTACACACAGACACACATGTAAGTGTGGGTTAGGGTTAGTGTGTATGAACAATAAAAGATGAAAAGTGAGTCCCGGTCCCTGAGGCTTCATACAGTTCTTTTTATAATGCATGAAATACTTTTCAATCAAGAGTATAAAAATACATTTACGTTTGCGTACAATATATAAAGTTTGTTTGAAGTCCTTCTGTCAGACAGATCCTCCGCAGCAGGAAGGACAGAGGCACTTTGATGATGATGATGATGATGATGTCAGGCCGCCATTTTACGTATACAGCAGACGTTTTCAGGGCGCGTCCTATTTCTGTGCATCTGGCTTCACTTGCTCCTCGTAAGAGCAGCCAATAGAGAACAACCATCTCTTCATCTCATTGGCTGTTTGTCCCAAAGGGGCGGTGCTTAGGGGTCGGGGAGTTGAGGAGCGAGTGAATAGAAATCAGACGCTTTCAAACATGGAAAATCAGAAAAAATACAGTCAAAACTCAAACTGATCTTAGGTGAGAACTCTTTATGCCCAATGCCCTGTAGTTTTGGCCTTTGGTTTCTCATTTTCAGGGCCTTCCACAGATTTAGGACTTAGACTGGACCATTCAGCACATGAATATGTTTAAAGATGTAGCTTTGTGTCATTGTCCTGGAGGAGAGAGAGTCTTTGCCCCAGTCCCAATTCTCTTTCTGACTCTCGCAGGTTTTCCTCCAAAATGTCTCTGTATTTGGGTTAATCCATCTTCCCAGCTATTCTTCCAATCTTCCCAGTGCCTACTGAAGAAAAGCAACCCTATAGCATCCTCCATTTTTGACACTGGGGATGGTGCGGTGGGCAGTGTGGCTTCTTTCAATAATGTCTTTCTTCTTCCACTCTGAAGGCCAGAGTTGTCCCATGTACAGATGCCCTCATCTTATTTCTAAAGAATCTTGTATCCTGTTACTTTCACTTCACAGTTGTCTGTCTAATTTCTATGTGTACATTGAGTAAAATAAATAAAAACAAATCTTTATGTTTATGGTTGTAAGCTATAACTCCACACATTAGAAGCTGTGAACAGAGAAAGAACCTGTAACAGAAGAAGACAGTGTGAAGGGCCGAATGTGCGTAGAAGCTGTATTTTAATATAATATATAACAGTGTATTTCAACCTTTTTTGATCCAAGGCACACTTTTTTCATTCAAAAAATCTCGCAGCACACCTCCAGGAAAAAATGTAAACATATATAATATACATACTCTATGTGAGATCAATAAAGTATTATCTTATCTTATAATATATATACTCTGTAGCCTATATTCACAATATACAGTTATTCTCATCAAAGTGCTTAAGCCCAGGCCTTGACATTAATCTTTATTTCATATTTCTCAATACAATGAGTTAACAAGAGTTTGGGAATAAAGTGGCACTAACTGTGTGGAAAAAAAAACAAAGAAAATCCACTCTGTCAAAATAGTCAAATAATAACTCACACAAAGAACATGCATTGTTAGTGCATGGGAAAAATTTTGGTATCCGAGCTTTAAATTCAGGAGTTTTGGATGAGGGACACGGGAGGTCCTGAACGCGAGTCCATGGTTCTGTCCGGTCCGCATGTCTGTGGTTCTGTCCACTCGACTGTGGTCTGCGCTCGGTACCCAGTTCAGAAGTGCGTTCACGAGAGCTGTTGTACAAAAATGGTACATTTCATAGTTAAACCACTACAACGCGGCCACAGCTGCCCCGGGGCAGAGCGGAGGATGTTAATCCTGTTCAGAAACGGCATAATTCCTTTTCAAAAATGTCTCCATCACTTTCACTTCTCACTCGCCACAAAGCTCTTGTCTCGTTATCTCACACATTTGTTGGTCGCATCCAATTTTACGTTTTTCGCCACAATGCTCCCACTACCTGTTACGTCCAGTGGTTGCATCCAATGTTTCAGTTTCAAAGTACTTAGCTATCTGCTGCCATCTACTGATTTGAAAAAGTATTACATGGTTACTCCACAGTTCAAAACAAGTCACTGCTCGTCAACAGCGAATGCAGTTATTTTTAGACAAAGTAGACGAATTTCTCACGGCACACCAGACAATATCATACGGCACACTAGTGTGCCGCGGCACAGTGGTTGAAAAACACTGATATATAATGTAAACATGTGTGTTTGACGCCCCCTGGCGGTGGGCCTGGGCCCTGCACGCCTCCTCTCACGGTGACGTAAGTTCCCGTGACGTCAGAGCTGTTTAAACACTCGTCCTCCTTCTCAGTGATGGCGGCTGCGTTTCGATCTCTCCCGACAAACAGCAACAACAAATGGTATTTCACACGGCCGCAGATCGACAACAACCCGTCCCGGAGAGCCGGCCTGGACCCCGATAAAGAGCTCTCGTACCGACAGCAAGCGGCGAATCTGCTCCAGGACATGGGCCAGCGCCTCAATGTGTATCCTAACGTTAGCATGTTAGCATGTGGCTAGGCTCAATGTGTATCCTAACGTTAGCATGTTAGCATGTGGCTAGGCTCAATGTGTATCCTAACGTTAGCATGTTAGCATGTGGCTAGGCTCAATGTGTATCCTAACGTTAGCATGTTAGCATGTGGCTAGGCTCAATGTGTATCCTAACGTTAGCATGTTAGCATGTGGCTAGCGGAGCAGAATGTGGCCTACCATGGGAGACTCTAACCCCTGCTGTGCTAATTTACAACTGAAACCCTTGTGCATTATTGTTATTGTTCCACCTCGAGATAAAACACCGAATTTATTATTATAACTCACGACGATTTCCAAAGTATGCACTTTAAACGTGCTTTAGCAGCCGTCGGCCTTAGCATGAGCTTATTAGCATTAGCATCGGAGGGAGCGAGTTACTGAAATTGTTTTTTTCAGGTTTAAAATCTACTGAGTACATAACCAGTCGAGCACAGTGTATATAACACGGTCACAAACGTATATTTAATATTTCAATTGTATCTAATGTATGTGTTTTTTAACACGCAGCTTGTACAGTTTGGATCAGAATTGACCGCACACGGCTTCCGTTGGAATAGTGCAGACACATCCCAGTGTTAGTCAGTACTTTACGCTGTATTGCATTGGAGTTGCGATTCGCGTCTTGTCTGTGTGTTTCTAGCTTTGTCTCCCGCTCCACGATGCTTCTGGGCCTGTTCACGCAGTGGGGCCCCAGGACACGGCTTTGGAGGGGCCCCAGGACACGGCTTTGGAGGGGCCCCAGGACACGGCTTTGGAGAGTCCCCCCAAACCTGAGCCCACACATGTATTTGTGTGAACTCTCAGAGAGGACGGTGCGTGGTGTAATTTACCAGAGTACATCTCTTGGCTCTGAACATTTATCCTATCAAACATGAGACAAACCCTTTCTAAATGCATGTAAAGCAGGATGTTAAGACGACACTTGTATAGTATAGACGATGGAAATGGAAATGCACACGTCGATATTGAGTCCCGAAGGTTTTTACATGCACCATTTATAGAACAGTTCTAGTCAATTCTGTGGTAATTATAAGAGCTCTCAAATGAACTTGACTATTGTTATTGTGTGGTGGCCAGGTTTGTATCCTCTGCTGTTTCTGCTGCTGTTGTGTAAACAGTGGTTCATTGTCAATGGCCCCTCAGAGCCTCTTATCCCCTGGAAGAAGCTGCACAAATGTGTTCAGGTTTTTCCTTGACAGAACTTTCAGCTCCCAACTCACCATCAACACTGCCATCGTCTACATGCACCGCTTCTACATGGTCCAGTCCTTCACTCGCTTCCACAGAAACGTGAGTTTTCACATGCGGAACGCGCCGTAATCTAATGGATCATTCAGACTAACAGTGTTTAACATAAGTTGTGATTTTAGGTGTTTTAAAATATACCCATAGCTATTCAGTGTTTTCAATGACATTAGGTCGTTAACTTGCCCAAACCTGGGATCCTCTGTTTTGACGTTGGACATTAGTAAAATAGTTGCATGCTTTGCCCAGATTTATTATTGAACAACATTATGAATACTTTAGTTAGTCCCCATTGGACCTTACCATTAGTTGATAAGTTTGATGGTGCGACATTATTACAAAGTGTCACTCATGTGCTGTTGTTGACCTCTGACCTCTCCTCCGTCCTCAGGTTGTGTCTCCGGCCACGCTTTTCCTCGCGGCCAAAGTGGAAGAGCAGCCGCGTAAACTGGAGCATGTGATCAAAGTGGCCCACGCCTGCCTCAACCCCCAAGACCCCTCCCCAGACGTGCGCAGCGACGTGAGTGTCCCACACGTCTCCAACAGGGATGTAACAATTCACACTTCTCCAGTTCATGGGAAGTTTGGGCTCAGCAGAAAACAAAGACATTTGATTTTTCCAAGCTGCATGTTGTCTTTGATGGAGCCAGTATTGTTACATGTCTGTTCCAACTGCTGGGTTCTTGTGAGAAAGTAAAAGAAGGCAAAAGCAAATGTAACTTGATGTCACAACCTGTAAACTCAAACTCTCAACACGATAAAGAATCCTGTCACATACGAGAGGCGTAGAATCACTTCAGCTTCAATCGTCATTTCTCTTGTTGTCGTGTGCGTTGTGTTTGTGACATCAGCGGTTGCATTTGTGTTGCGCTCTGGACTGAGGCGCCCAGTGAGTAACGTGCCTGTCCTCTGACCTCAGGCCTACCTGCAGCAAGCCCAAGACCTGGTCATTCTTGAGAGCATTATACTGCAGACCCTGGGTAAGTGCGGAGGGACGCCCGCCGCAGTCTGTCGCAGCGGCACAATATGGCATTAAAGGTCCACTTAACTTCAGTGTTCTCAAAACTCACCTGTTTTAAGCTTCATCCCAACGTCATGGACAGCTGTTTCATGTATTCTTAACACATAAATATTGGCCTTTTTAATTAGACCACATCATATTGGATTTATCTGTAAATCTACTGTTAGGTCTAATTCTTGCCATTTTCAGTATTTATCCATTTTCTACTTTAATTTGTAATGTCATTCATTTCAAATTTCAGTGTTTTTAGGTCAAATGAAGCTCCCTGGTTGTGTTAAATTCGAAGCAAAACTGAAACCTCTTCCTAGACAGAAGCAGGAGATGGAGCTTCCCACTTAAAGTCGTTCAATAATGATTCCAGTTTTCCTTCCAGTCTAAAATCCATGATAACTTTCCAGATTTACTTTCACAGATTACTTAAGTTGCATAAGGATAATGTTAACTCCAATTCATTTGTATTCTTTTTACAGGGATACCTTAAAGTTTTTGATGCAGAGAAGTGTGTCGTACTTAAAGTTAGTTGTTGATTATTAATGAATGTTATGTTCCGTTCACAGCGTTTGAGATCACCATCGACCACCCGCACACCCACGTGGTCCGCTGCACGCAGCTCGTGAGGGGTAAGTCTGACATTTCAGTGCCTTGGTGACACGTAAATAACATGTAATAGGTTTGTTTTCTGTTCCTGCAGCGAGCAAAGACCTGGCGCAGACCTCGTATTTCATGGCCACAAACAGGTATCATCAACTAATGTGAGCTGAACTGAGTGCGGACTCATTATTGTGGAATGCTGCGAGTGTTTGGACTAACGATCAGATGTTTTTGTAAACGATCACAAAGGCTTAAAGTGGTTCTCACCCCCGCTCCTCGGAGCTTACGTCACTCACATTTCCTGTTAAAATCTTCCTCTAAATGGGCGTGGCCTGGAGGACTAAAGGGGGCGTGAACGAGACTGGGCCGTTTACATTGCTCTGGGCGGGGGGCTGCTGACGTCAGGTCCAACTTCTGTGCCAGTGTTGGCGCCAGATTCAAAATTCAAATGTAGTAATACAGGTCGCCAGCAGATGGCGCCTCACAGACGGTTTTAGGCAGAAAGTTTAACTTTCAACTAATTTGCACCAAAGTGACAAGATTATGACCAGGATATGTAGACAACACTATTGGACACTCATTTATACCGTTTATCAGCAAAAAAAAGTGGATTTGAGGGTGAGTTGTCCTTTAAACATGGAAGGAACGGTCTGTTTCACTGCTGACTTTTCCAAACAGCCCCAGTGCAACTCAGTGACATGTTTACAAGGAATAAGGGACGCAGGTCTGACCAGCCTGGTGCAGGTGTACAAGCGGAGCACTCAATCTGTGACTCATTATGCTTACATCATATACTATAGATATTGATGATTTATGATTCTGGTGCGTAACCTGCAACACGTCCACGTTTAGATTTCCACAGGTTTATTTTGAAGTCATTTTAAACTTTAGTTGTTTTTACCAAAGCAGTGAAACTGAGACTGTGGTTGCAGTGATGGTTGCATGGCTTCTCCCTGTGCTCTTTATGCATCTGCTGTGCTTGTCTCTGTAGTATCTGGTTCACCTGGTTACAGACCAGCAAGTTTTATTAAAGCCTTCTATTGGACAAACCTCTGAGAATGTAAATAAGTTTAGTTGCAAGTAATACATGGGTCTCTCTCTGACGCCGTCACGTTTCAGTCTTTTTGTGTATTCTCCAACATAAAACATGACAAGGACACGTTTCATTCTGACACTCTTGGTCTTCCCTCAGTGTCCTCTGCAGCACTATTTTAGTGTATGCAAGGCTTTTGACAGCTGCAGCAGCTCTGAGGATTTACCTTATTCTGTGAAAAACTCCTCATTATGCTAGTAAAGGACTTTATTATCTGAGCAATGGAAGAGTCAGTCCATTAAAGCTGAGGTCCATGGACTCGGTGAGAGGAAAGAGTCCTTTCTTTTGGACTCTTTGGCCTTTAGGGAAAGTCATTTTTTCAACTGGGCCCAAATGCGGTGAAGTATAACTCCGATCCAGCTGGTGGCGCTAACTTAAACAACTACCTCGGTTACACTCGGCTCCCATAGCTTTTCGTATAAAGCTCTGCAGCGTCTGTCAGTCTCCAGGATCAGATTCTGAGTTTATACAATGGATTGTTATGTTATTAACCCGTACTTCTGTATCAGCGAACACGTTAGCAGCCTTGTTTACAGTCACGGCAGAAACTCAGGCTGGAGCCACATGTTCACACTGTGTGCCCCACTGTCAGTCCTGGGTCAGTCCTGGGTCAGTCCTGGGTCAGTCCTGGGTCAGTCCTGGGTCAGCTGCTGTTTTGGTTGTTTCAAAGTGTCCTCTTCTTGCTCTGATTGGCTTGTGTCCCTGTGACCACTTTGCTGCTCTCTGATTGGTCACATTTGCCGCACATGGACCTATAGCGAACTATCTGAATGACGTCACTAAGACACGCCCCCGCCGCCTGTCAACTCCCGCCCACATGTTTCGGACAAACACTGCCGAAATGAATCAAATACCACTTGTCACTTTAGACGAAAATGAAATACCAGGGGCAAAATTCCACCATCAAACCATCAGGGATCATAGTGTAGACCAATTATAACGTTGGCTTGAATGTCGTGGTCTTCCAGTAGAAAGTTTGATTTGATAAAAAGGTAATGGTGAGGATTATGCTAACATTATCTAGTCATTTAAATTGCAATGCTAGCGCCTTCTTTGTTTGTTTTGCTGTGATTAACTTCCATTTATCAAGTTTTTTTTTTTTTGCACTATCCACTTTGTAATTAGTTTGATCATTAGTTAGCTACAGTCAGCCGATATTATAACAGATCCATGGGTCACAACGGGCGACGCCACTACTGTCTCTGAGAGAAACTATCGGAGCTAGCCACACTCAGTAAACGCAAATGACCATCAATCGACACATTTAAATGTTAATGGGAGAATACATTATACATACATTCATAACACAAGTGCACGGAGGTTTTCAGAATTATCTGTTCAGGTTTTCATGACAAAAATACTTTTTTAATGCAACTAAAGCGATCGCTTTTTTAAAGTAGGTTAACTATCCTCACTGTTATTCGCCTGCCACGGGAAAACCTTTGGGAACTATTTTCTTTGCACTCATTAAATAAACCTTTCGGCATTAATAGTGAATGACGTTTATTTTGCGTGTTGAGTTGGTACAAAGCCGTATAATAAGCGGACCCCAACGCGCTTCGTCTGAACTTATTTTCCGATAGTCACAAAGTTGAAAAAAATCCCTCATCTTTCTTCAGGTGTGAGAATTGTATACTTTCTGGATTAGGACAAACAATACTAATATGGATTGATGGGGGTAAATGGTGTAAAGAGAAAGTTTGTGCTAACTACATTCAGAAGAGCTCAGACGGACCTGATCCAGCGGTCCAGATCCAGTCCCAGCTAAACGTAGCTAGGACTGGATCTGGAGGCTCCACAGTTGGTCCAGCGAAGTGTTTTGAAAAAACATGTCCTTTTTAACCTTTTCATGAGAGAAATTCTGCCGACCACAAGCACCCACCTCTTGCACTTGTCCTGGTCTGATCTGGTCCTGGTCTGGTCCTGATCTGGTCCGATGTTGTGGTTTAACGAACGGGTTGAATGTTACTTTGATAGTCCTTTTCAGAATATCTGAAATCGCTCCGACAAGCACCATAACTGCAGTGTTTTGTTGTCACCATGATTTAATGATTTAGCCCAAGTAAATACACACGCGTATGAGGAGAACACAGTAGAACTCAACGCGTCGTACACAATGTTTGTCCGAAACATGCGCGCATGCGCAGTCATCTGAGCTATTTTTAGCACATTTCGGAAACCGGACAGTGCCCTATTAAAATAACTGGAGAGAGTATTAGAGTCTGTAGCTGTCCCACCCATGGGCTCGGGGGCTTCTCATGGTACTGCAGACTAAATTCACGTCAATGTGAATTTAGGTCTGTCTCGACCAGTGGTTCAGCTAATATCATTTTTAGACATTTATTTTGGAACAAGGCCATTTACTGCTGATATGAACCCAGACTGTCCAGACCTCTGCTGCTACTCGCAGGATAAACTATTGACTCTGTTATAGAAAACTACTATTGTCCATAAGTTTTCAAACCAATACAGTTCTGTTATGTGTGACACTCACTAATGCCCTGGTCTCCTGCTCTCCTCCTCAGCCTCCACCTGACCACCTTCTGCCTCCAGTACAGCCCCCCGGTGGTGGCCTGCGTCTGCATCCATCTGGCCTGCAAGTGGTCCAACTGGGAGATCCCTGTGTCCACTGACGGGAAGCACTGGTGGGAGTATGTGGACCCCACCGTCACCCTGGAGCTGTTGGATGGTAAGGCCCCTGCGGTATAGGAGTATGTAGGAGCTCAGCAGGCCAGCGCCTGGTTAATGCTTGGATGGGAAACCTTTGAAAAGTGCTGCACGGTCTTTAGGGAGAATATGCCAAAACGGAAAATCCAGATCTAAAAGAATGAATAAAAAACATTCAAGTGAGTAAAAAGTTTCATGGACCTAAAAACTTCTCAAAGTGAAATCTTGTTCCTGTAAGAAATGACTTTTTTGAGTAATAATATTTTTTTTCTTTTGTAGAGTTGACTCATGAATTCCTCCAAATCCTGGAGAAGACTCCGAGCCGCCTAAAACGGATCCGAAACTGGAAGGTAGGTTTTCCACCTTGTTTTTCTTCTGTGGTTCATGGATGAGCTTTGACAGTGCCTCTCTCACCACAGGCCGGAGGACAGGCGCCCAAAGTCAAGCCCAAAGTGCAGGAAGAAGGCGACCAGCGCGACGCCATGATGAGCATGATCTCCATGGCGTCCTCCGAGAGCACGGTGGCCGGCCTCATGAGTCTGTCCGCTCCGTCCTCAGAGAAGGAGAGGAGCACTCCAGGAAGTGCTCAGAGCTGGAGTGGGAAGCCCGCCGCCGCCGGAGATCAGGCCGCAGCCAACAGCGACGTCCACGTTCCTGCTAAAGTCTCTCTGAGCGAATACCGCGCCAAAAACGCAGATGTTTTAGCTGCTCAGAAGCGAAAACTGGAAAACATGGAAGCGAGCGTGAAGCGGGAGTACGCCAACGCAGCCCAGGCTTTAATCAGCCACAAGAAGGACAAGACTCATCACCCGCCGTCGTCCGATAACCAGTCTCCAATCATCCTCAAAATCCCGCTCGAGAAAGACCGCCACGAACGCTCTTTGAAAATGCGCTTTCCCCTCGGCTCAGGCGGCGGCGCCGGCAGCAGCCACGGTGCAAATAATCGCGGACAGGATCCAGACATTAAGGTGAAAATCCGAGTTCCTGAGAAGCAGCGTGTGAGCTCCGGAGAAGAAGGAAAGAGCAGAGACAAACACCGGGATCGCTCCAATCACCACCATCACTCTCATCACTCCTCCAGTGCCTCGCTCTCTCACAAACACTCAGCCGCAGGAGGCAAAAAATCTGCAAACGAATCTTCAAGAACTAGCTCTTCCTCGTCTGCGTCGCGGAAAAGGCCGCATTCCCAAGACCCGGCCTCTTCTTCTCATGCTCACGGCAAGATGGCAAAGTCCTCCAGTAATCCGTACAAGCTGGGCTCCTCTCTGGCGAGCCAAGGCGGAGACGTGCACCCCGCCATTGGACTCACGCAGGCGGCTTTCGCCCACGGCAAAGACAAGACTGACACGAACGGGCACGGCGGCCCCGGGCACGGCGGCCCCGGCCAGTCAGAGTTCCAAGACACTTTTGACATGTTGAACTCTTTACTGCACGCTCAGGGGGTGCAGCCGGCGCAGCCCGCCATGTACGACTACAGGCCGCAGTACGGAGAGTACCGCTTCAGCTCCAGCAGCAGAGGGAACCAGAGGCCCCCCCCTCTGCCCTCAGAGCCCCCACCCCCTCTGCCCCCACTGCCCAAGTGAGCGCCCCCTGGTGTAGACTCAGTGACAGCCATGAATGGTTTATCTAATGGGCCTGAAATGTGAGGAACAAGTGTAAATATGTTTATTATCAGTGAAATGGAATGTGAAAAGGATTTTCAGATTTGTTTAAAAAAGGAAATGGATTGATGCCTGTTGGATATTCTTACGATTGTCTTTTGATAATGTTTTATAGTATATTATTTATTGAATGTTCTGAGACGCTCTGCTGCCTCAGGACGTGACAGTGAAGCTGTACAGTCTGACAGTGCATGCTCCGCAGCCATCTTTTATATTTTTGGTCCTCCAAAAACATGTTTTTTCTTGCCTAATTTTGGCAGATGTGCATCAATATTTTAAAACGCAAAACATTTTGTTAAAATTTGCAAAAAAAAATGTAATTTTAAAAAAACCTGTAGTTTAGATGTTGCAGTCATTGTTTTAAATGGTTGTAAAATAGAATTTGTTATTCACTGAGTTCTGTCTCGTATCTGCAGATTACTGAAAAGGCCTTTTGTGAGAGTAGCAAGGTTCATATCCACCATTTTATTATTGTGTATTACCATGTATTTCTCAATCTAATGTCTGGGACTCTGAATAAAGCAGAGTAACATGTGTGTAAAACATGTGTGTGTAACATGTGTGTGGACGCAGGTGGTTTTTAAATGCTCAAAGCATTAAGAGTAAATGTGGAGACTGATAAATGCATATTCATGTGTCGTCTGGGTGTGTTTTTACTGCTTCAGTTGGCCCTAAATGTTCATTCTGTAGTTTTTGGCAATACTTTCATGAGTCCTTCTGTCGTAGCAGTATTGAAACTTTCATGTTCTGTGTTTTCTCAGTAAATGAACTTGATGCAGAGAATACAAGTCTGGATTTGAAATGTCATTATTCAGAGCTTTGTTGTAACTATAGGATGCACAGAGTATTATGGAAGTTTGGAATCATTTAATTTTACCTGACTTATTTTTTTAGCTCACATTTTACTCATGCTAACGCGACATGCTCATGCAACTGAACAATGCAAAAGTTACTGCTGGTTTCTGTGGAAGTCATGTTCTTTGTCCTTGTCTGGTTCTAAAGTTTATGACACTCAGGTCTGGAATAACGTATTTCACTTCCGTCAAAATGTCTAACGGTTCTTTTTGATATTATGTGGTTGCTTTATTCCCAATCAAAATCAATAAATATTTTATGGAACACTGTTTATTTCATTTCTATAATTCATGCATTACATCATTTACCACCTTCTCTAAAGCTGTGTGGTCTTGCATATCACTCTGAAGTTAGATCTTATTTAGTATAGAGTTATTGTTCATTTATCTTGTGCTCCTCATTCATACTGTTCTGTGGTGATGCAACACTGACATTTCTCATGTGGGATGTGATGTGTAAAAAATAAACACAGACTTCCTACATCAAAATTCAACTAAAGACATCGATAGTTATTACGTTTCGCTCGACCAAGCCTGAAGTAATGTAATGAAGCTACTCCATCTGATAAGAGGCCAATATTACAGGACAAAAGAAGACAGAGGACATGGAAAGACAAAGGAGCAACTATTTTCTGCTGAATTCGGACGCAGCCACTACTTATTGAGCAAGAAAAAATCAGCCAATCAGAGGCGTGTGGGGGCGGGCTCTGTGGCCGTTAGCCCATTAGCTGTTAGCACATCTGCAGGAGCCATTTGTGTTCAGAGCAGCGCGGAGCTAACGTCGGAAACAGGGTAAGACCAGAGCACAGCCCCAGCTCCAGCCTTTTTTAACAAGTCCTAAATCCGTATCACACGTATTACTGGAAGCTTCCACTAAAGACCGGGAAAAGAGGCTGCTGTTAGATCTAAAACGGTCTGCTACAGGCTACCGTTAGCATCGTTAGCATCGTTAGCATGTGAGGAGAAAGATGGCGACCGCACAGAAGTGACGCAGCTTAGAGGCGGGAGGAGGCTGCAGGAGGAGGAGGAGGCTGCAGGAGGAGGAGGAGGCTGTAGGAGCAGGAGGAGGCTGTAGGAGCAGGAGGAGGCTGTAGGAGGAGGAGGAGGCTGCAGGAGGAGGAGGAGGCTGCAGGAGCAGGAGGAGGCTGTAGGAGGAGGAGGAGGCTGTAGGAGGAGGAGGAGGCTGCAGGAGGAGGAGGAGGCTGTAGGAGGAGGAGGAGGCTGTAGGAGCAGGAGGAGGCTGTAGGAGCAGGAGGAGGCTGTAGGAGGAGGAGGAGGCTGCAGGAGGAGGAGGAGGCTGCAGGAGGAGGAGGAGGCTGTAGGAGGAGGAGGAGGCTGTAGGAGGAGGAGGAGGCTGTAGGAGGAGGCTGTAGGGAGGAGGAGGAGGAGGCTGTAGGAGGAGGAGGAGGCTGTAGGAGGAGGAGGAGGCTGTAGGAGGAGGAGGAGGAGGCTGTAGGAGGAGGAGGAGGCTGTAGGAGCAGGAGGAGGCTGTAGGAGGAGGAGGAGGCTGTAGGAGGAGGAGGAGGCTGTAGAGGAGGAGGAGGAGGCTGTAGGAGGAGGAGGAGGCTGTAGGAGGAGGAGGAGGCTGTAGGAGGAGGAGGAGGCTGTAGGAGGAGGAGGAGGCTGTAGGAGGAGGAGGAGGCTGTAGGAGGAGGAGGAGGCTGTAGGAGGAGGAGGAGGCTGTAGGAGGAGGAGGAGGCTGTAGGAGCAGGAGGAGGAGGCTGTAGGAGGAGGAGGAGGCTGTAGGAGCAGGAGGAGGAGGCTGTAGGAGGAGGAGGAGGCTGTAGGAGGAGGAGGAGGAGGCTGTAGGAGGAGGAGGAGGCTGTAGGAGCAGGAGGAGGAGGCTGTAGGAGGAGGAGGAGGCTGTAGGAGGAGGAGGAGGAGGCTGTAGGAGCAGGAGGAGGCTGTAGGAGCAGGAGGAGGCTGTAGGAGCAGGAGGAGGAGGCTGTAGGAGGAGGAGGAGGCTGTAGAGGAGGAGGAGGAGGCTGTAGGAGGAGGAGGAGGAGGCTGTAGGAGCAGGAGGAGGCTGTAGGAGCAGGAGGAGGCTGTAGGAGGAGGAGGAGGCTGTAGGAGGAGGAGGAGGCTGTAGGAGGAGGAGGAGGCTGTAGAGGAGGAGGAGGAGGCTGTAGGAGGAGGAGGAGGCTGTAGGAGGAGGAGGAGGCTGTAGGAGGAGGAGGAGGAGGCTGTAGGAGGAGGAGGAGGCTGTAGGAGGAGGAGGAGGCTGTAGGAGGAGGAGGAGGAGGCTGTAGGAGGAGGAGGAGGCTGTAGGAGAGGAGGAGGCTGTAGGAGGAGGAGGCTGTAGGAGGAGGAGGAGGCTGTAGGAGGAGGAGGAGGAGGCTGTAGGAGGAGGAGGAGGAGGCTGTAGGAGGAGGAGGAGGCTGTAGGAGGAGGAGGAGGCTGTAGGAGCAGGAGGAGGAGGCTGTAGGAGGAGGGGAGGAGGCTGTAGGAGGAGGAGGAGGAGGCTGTAGGAGGAGGAGGAGGAGGCTGTAGGAGCAGGAGGCTGTAGGAGCAGGAGGAGGCTGTAGGAGGAGGAGGAGGCTGTAGGAGGAGGAGGAGGCTGTAGGAGGAGGAGGAGGCTGTAGGAGGAGGAGGAGGCTGTAGGAGGAGGAGGAGGCTGTAGGAGGAGGAGGAGGCTGTAGGAGGAGGAGGAGGAGGCTGTAGGAGCAGGAGGAGGAGGCTGTAGGAGGAGGAGGAGGCTGTAGGAGGAGGAGGAGGAGGCTGTAGGAGGAGGAGGAGGAGGCTGTAGGAGCAGGAGGAGGCTGTAGGAGCAGGAGGAGGCTGTAGGAGGAGGAGGAGGCTGTAGGAGGAGGAGGAGGCTGTAGGAGGAGGAGGAGGCTGTAGGAGCAGGAGGAGGAGGCTGTAGGAGGAGGAGGAGGCTGTAGGAGGAGGAGGAGGAGGCTGGAGGAGGAGGAGGAGGAGGCTGTAGGAGGAGGAGGAGGCTGTAGGAGGAGGAGGAGGCTGTAGGAGGAGGAGGAGAGGCTGTAGGAGGAGGAGGAGGAGGCTGTAGGAGGAGGAGGAGGAGGCTGTAGGAGGAGGAGGAGGCTGTAGGAGGAGGAGGGAGGCTGTAGGAGCAGGAGGAGGAGGCTGTAGGAGGAGGAGGAGGCTGTAGGAGGAGGAGGAGGAGGCTGTAGGAGGAGGAGGAGGAGGCTGTAGGAGCAGGAGGCTGTAGGAGCAGGAGGAGGCTGTAGGAGGAGGAGGAGGCTGTAGGAGGAGGAGGAGGCTGTAGGAGGAGGAGGAGGCTGAGGAGTAGGAGGGAGGAGCTGTAGGAGGAGGAGGAGGCTGTAGGAGGAGGAGGCTGTAGGAGGAGGAGGAGGAGGCTGTAGGAGCAGGAGGAGGAGGCTGTAGGAGGAGGAGGAGGCTGTAGGAGGAGGAGGAGGAGGCTGTAGGAGGAGGAGGAGGAGGCTGTAGGAGCAGGAGGAGGCTGTAGGAGCAGGAGGAGGCTGTAGGAGGAGGAGGAGGCTGTAGGAGGAGGAGGAGGCTGTAGGAGCAGGAGGAGGAGGCTGTAGGAGGAGGAGGAGGCTGTAGGAGGAGGAGGAGGCTGTAGGAGGAGGAGGAGGCTGTAGGAGGAGGAGGAGGCTGTAGGAGCAGGAGGAGGAGGCTGTAGGAGGAGGAGGAGGCTGTAGGAGGAGGAGGAGGAGGCTGTAGGAGGAGGAGGAGGCTGTAGGAGCAGGAGGAGGAGGCTGTAGGAGGAGGAGGAGGAGGCTGTAGGAGGAGGAGGAGGAGGCTGTAGGAGCAGGAGGAGGCTGTAGGAGCAGGAGGAGGCTGTAGGAGCAGGAGGAGGAGGCTGTAGGAGGAGGAGGAGGCTGTAGGAGGAGGAGGAGGAGGCTGTAGGAGGAGGAGGAGGAGGCTGTAGGAGCAGGAGGAGGCTGTAGGAGCCAGGAGGAGGCTGTAGGAGGAGGAGGAGGCTGTAGGAGGAGGAGGAGGAGGCTGTAGGAGGAGGAGGAGGCTGTAGGAGGAGGAGGAGGAGGCTGTAGGAGGAGGAGGAGGCTGTAGGAGGAGGAGGAGGCTGTAGGAGCAGGAGGAGGAGGCTGAGGAGGAGGAGGAGGCTGTAGGAGGAGGAGGAGGCTGTAGGAGGAGGAGGAGGAGGAGGCTGTAGGAGGAGGAGGAGGCTGTAGGAGCAGGAGGAGGAGGCTGTAGGAGGAGGAGGAGGCTGTAGGAGGAGGAGGAGGAGGCTGTAGGAGGAGGAGGAGGAGGCTGTAGGAGGAGGAGGAGGCTGTAGGAGGAGGAGGAGGCTGTAGGAGCAGGAGGAGGAGGCTGTAGGAGGAGGAGGAGGCTGTAGGAGGAGGAGGAGGAGGCTGTAGGAGGAGGAGGAGGAGGCTGTAGGAGCAGGAGGCTGTAGGAGCAGGAGGAGGCTGTAGGAGGAGGAGGAGGCTGTAGGAGGAGGAGGAGGCTGTAGGAGGAGGAGGAGGCTGTAGGAGGAGGAGGAGGCTGTAGGAGGAGGAGGAGGCTGTAGGAGGAGGAGGAGGCTGTAGGAGGAGGAGGAGGAGGCTGTAGGAGCAGGAGGAGGAGGCTGTAGGAGGAGGAGGAGGCTGTAGGAGGAGGAGGAGGAGGAGGCTGTAGGAGGAGGAGGAGGAGGCTGTAGGAGCAGGAGGAGGCTGTAGGAGCAGGAGGAGGCTGTAGGAGGAGGAGGAGGCTGTAGGAGGAGGAGGAGGCTGTAGGAGCAGGAGGAGGAGGCTGTAGGAGGAGGAGGAGGCTGTAGGAGGAGGAGGAGGCTGTAGGAGGAGGAGGAGGCTGTAGGAGCAGGAGGAGGAGGAGCTGTAGGAGGAGGAGGAGGCTGTAGGAGGAGGAGGAGGAGGCTGTAGGAGGAGGAGGAGGAGGCTGTAGGAGCAGGAGGCTGTAGGAGCAGGAGGAGGCTGTAGGAGGAGGAGGAGGCTGTAGGAGGAGGAGGAGGCTGTAGGAGCAGGAGGAGGCTGTAGGAGGAGGAGGAGGCTGTAGGAGGAGGAGGAGGCTGTAGGAGGAGGAGGAGGCTGTAGGAGGAGGAGGAGGAGGCTGTAGGAGGAGGAGGAGGAGGCTGTAGGAGGAGGAGGAGGAGGCTGTAGGAGCAGGAGGAGGAGGCTGTAGGAGCAGGAGGAGGAGGCTGTAGGAGGAGGAGGAGGAGGAGGCTGTAGGAGCAGAAGGAGGCTGTAGGAGGAGGAGGAGGCTTGTAGGAGGAGGAGGAGGAGGCTGTAGGAGCAGGAGGAGGCTGTAGGAGGAGGAGGAGGCTGTAGGAGGAGGAGGAGGAGGCTGTAGGAGCAGGAGGCTGTAGGAGCAGGAGGAGGCTGTAGGAGGAGGAGGAGGCTGTAGGAGGAGGAGGAGGCTGTAGGAGGAGGAGGAGGCTGTAGGAGGAGGAGGAGGCTGTAGGAGGAGGAGGAGGAGGCTGTAGGAGCAGGAGGAGGCTGTAGGAGGAGGAGGAGGCTGTAGGAGGAGGAGGAGGCTGTAGGAGGAGGAGGAGGCTGTAGGAGGAGGAGGAGGAGGCTGTAGGAGCAGGAGGAGGAGGCTGTAGGAGGAGGAGGAGGAGGCTGTAGGAGCAGGAGGAGGAGGCTGTAGGAGCAGGAGGAGGAGGCTGTAGGAGGAGGAGGAGGAGGAGGCTGTAGGAGCAGAAGGAGGCTGTAGGAGGAGGAGGAGGCTGTAGGAGGAGGAGGAGGCTGTAGGAGCAGGAGGAGGCTGTAGGAGGAGGAGGAGGCTGTAGGAGGAGGAGGAGGAGGCTGTAGGAGCAGGAGGCTGTAGGAGCAGGAGGAGGCTGTAGGAGGAGGAGGAGGCTGTAGGAGGAGGAGGCTGAAGGAGCAGGAGGAGGCTGCAGGAGGAGGAGGAGGCTATAGGAGGAGGCTGCAGGAGGAGGCTGTAGGAGGAGGAGGAGGCTGTAGGAGGAGGAGGAGGCTGTAGGAGGAGGAGGAGGCTGTAGGAGCAGGAGGAGGCTGTAGGAGGAGGAGGAGGCTGTAGGAGGAGGAGGCTGAAGGAGCAGGAGGAGGCTGTAGGAGCAGGAGGAGGCTGTAGGAGCAGGAGGAGGCTGTAGGAGGAGGAGGAGGCTATAGGAGGAGGAGGCTGAAGGAGCAGGAGGAGGCTGTAGGAGGAGGAGGAGGCTGTAGGAGGAGGAGGAGGCTGTAGGAGGAGGAGGAGGAGGCTGCAGGAGCAGGAGGAGGCTGTAGGAGGAGGAGGAGGCTGTAGGAGGAGGAGGAGGCTGTAGGAGCAGGAGGAGGAGGCTGTAGGAGCAGGAGGAGGCTGTAGGAGGAGGAGGAGGCTGTAGGAGGAGGAGGAGGCTGTAGGAGGAGGAGGAGGCTGTAGGAGGAGGAGGAGGCTGTAGGAGGAGGAGGAGGAGGCTGTAGGAGCAGGAGGAGGAGGCTGTAGGAGGAGGAGGAGGAGGCTGTAGGAGCAGGAGGAGGAGGCTGTAGGAGGAGGAGGCTGTAGGAGCAGAAGGAGGCTGTAGGAGGAGGAGGAGGCTGTAGGAGGAGGAGGAGGCTGTAGGAGCAGGAGGAGGCTGTAGGAGGAGGAGGAGGTGTAGGAGGAGGAGGAGGAGGCTGTAGGAGCAGGAGGCTGTAGGAGCAGGAGGAGGCTGTAGGAGGAGGAGGAGGCTGTAGGAGGAGGAGGAGGCTGTAGGAGGAGGAGGCTGAAGGAGCAGGAGGAGGCTGCAGGAGGAGGCTGCAGGAGGAGGCTGTAGGAGGAGGAGGAGGCTGTAGGAGGAGGAGGAGGCTGTAGGAGCAGGAGGAGGCTGTAGGAGGAGGAGGAGGCTGTAGGAGGAGGAGGCTGAAGGAGCAGGAGGAGGCTGTAGGAGCAGGAGGAGGCTGTAGGAGCAGGAGGAGGCTGTAGGAGCAGGAGGAGGCTATAGGAGGAGGAGGCTGAAGGAGCAGGAGGAGGCTGTAGGAGGAGGAGGAGGCTGTAGGAGGAGGCTGAAGGAGCAGGAGGAGGCTGTAGGAGGAGGAGGAGGCTGTAGGAGGAGGAGGAGGCTGTAGGATCAGGAGGAGGCTGTAGGAGGAGGCTGCAGGAGCAGGAGGAGACTGTAGGAGGAGGAGGAGGAGGAGGAGGCTGCAGGAGCAGGAGGAGGCTGTAGGAGGAGGCTGCAGGATCAGGAGGAGGCTGTAGGAGGAGGCTGTAGGAGGAGGAGGTCCCTTCCACACTCTTGTCTGTGTTTGTGTTCATGTCTGTGTTTGTGTTCATGTTTGTGTTCATGTCTGTGTTTGTGTTCATGTCTGTGTTTGTGTTCATGTTTGTGTTCATGTCTGTGTTCATGTCTGTGTTTGTGTTCATGTTTGTGTTCATGTCTGTGTTCATGTCTGTGTTTGTGTTCATGTCTGTGTTTGTGCTCATGTCTGTGTTTGTGTTCATGTTTGTGTTTGTGTTCATGTTTGTGTTTGTGTTCATGTCTGTGTTTGTGTTCATGTCTGTGTTTGTGTTCATGTTTGTGTTTGTGTTCATGTATGTGTTTGTGTTCATGTCTGTGTTTGTGTTCATGTCTGTGTTCATGTTTGTGTTCATGTTTGTGTTCATGTCTGTGCTCATGTCTGTGTTTGTGTTCATGTCTGTGCTCATGTCTGTGTTTGTGCTCATGTCTGTGTTCATGTCTGTGTTTGTGTTCATGTCTGTGTTTGTGCTCATGTCTGTGTTTGTGCTCATGTCTGTGTTTGTGTTCATGTCTGTGTTTGTGTTCATGTCTGTGTTTGTGTTCATGTCTGTGTTTGTGTTCATGTCTGTGTTTGTGTTCATGTCTGTGTTTGTGTTCATGTCTGTGTTTGTGTTCATGTCTGTGTTTGTGTTCATGTCTGTGTTTGTGTTCATGTCTGTGTTCATGTCTGTGTTTGTGTTCATGTCTGTGTTTGTGTTCATGTCTGTGTTTGTGTTCATGTCTGTGTTTGTGTTCATGTCTGTGTTTGTGCTCATGTCTGTTTGTGTTCATGTCTGTGTTTGTGTTCATGTCTGTGTTTGTGTTCATGTCTGTGTTCATGTCTGTGTTTGTGTTCATGTCTGTGTTTGTGTTAATGTCTGTGTCTGTGTTCATGTCTGTGTCTGTGTTCATGTCTGTGCTCATGTCTGTGTTTGTGTTAATGTCTGTGTTTGTGTTCATGTCTGTGCTCATGTCTGTGTTTGTGTTAATGTCTGTGTTTGTGTTCATGTCTGTGTTTGTGCTCATGTCTGTGTTCATGTCTGTGTTTGTGTTCATGTCTGTGTCTGTGTTCATGTCTGTGTTCATGTCTGTGTTCATGTCTGTGTCTGTGCTCATGTCTGTGTTTGTGTTAATGTCTGTGTCTGTGTTCATGTCTGTGTCTGTGTTTGTGTTCATGTCTGTGCTCATGTCTGTGTTCATGTCTGTGTTTGTGTTCATGTCTGTGTTTGTGCTCATGTCTGTGTTTGTGCTCATGTCTGTGTTTGTGTTCATGTCTGTGTTTGTGTTCATGTCTGTGTTTGTGTTCATGTCTGTGTTTGTGTTCATGTCTGTGTTTGTGCTCATGTCTGTGTTCGTGTTCATGTCTGTGTCTGTGTTCCTGTCTGTGTTTGTGTTCATGTCTGTGTTCATGTCTGTGTCTGTGTTCAGGTGTGGAATGAACCGCATCAGGATCCATGTTCTTCCGTCGAGCCGTGGCCGAGTGCAGCCGGCGGCTCGCCTCCAGGAGCAGCTGACCTGTGCGTACGTCCTGAGGCCCTGTCCTCAGCCGCGACTGGAGGGGCAGGACTTCTGCATCAAACACATCCTGGAGGACAAGAGTGCGCCTTACAAACAGTGCAGCTATGTGTCCTCTAAGAACGGCAAGCGCTGTCCCAACGCCGCGCCCAAGATGGAGAGGAGAGACGGGTGCGTGTAGAGACCTGAGGTTCACATGTTTCATCCATGTTATTGACTGTTCACTACATCACTGTGGTATTGAAGCCACCCATGCATCAGGCATACAGCTTCATTCAACAATAGACTTACACTTAAATGTCACATTAAAGCTGCACTAACTGACTTTATTTTCGTATTCATTACAAAAATGCTATCCATGTCCATGTAGTGCATTTGGATAAACGTCCTTTTGAAGAAAAAGTAGCGCAGATTTGTGCTGGCGTGACATTATATTTTAGATCGAGTTTTGATGAAACAAGGAAGAGAATGTGTTTCGGGTCGCAGATTGTGACCAATCACAGCGCACCACTAGCCCCCACTTTCGTGAGAAATCTACAGGTCCCTGTTAGCACAGACGGCTGAGTTAGCACAACAAGTCGAGGAGCTAACCTGAAGCTTCGTGTGTCTTCGTCACCGGTTACTGCTTACACAGCGAGACAGCCATCCAAAAGAAAGTCCCGTTCCTCCGCGCTTCCCGGTTCTATCGTTCTATGATCACGGCATCCACGTGAAAATCCATATCCATGTATTATCCATATTGGAAGACACTAGCTCCGTCCCAACAGTGGGTGTGTGTGGGGGGCGATAGCTTCGTGGGTGCGGGGAGGGGAGCAGAAAGGGAGAGGCCAGCGAGTCCACGGCTTCAAAATCCCCAAGTCAGTTAGTGCAGCTTTAATAACAGCCTGTGTCATCATCGATCTTTGTCAGATGTCCTGGCTCTGTAGAAGAAACACTTTGGTTAGCTCTAACCCAGGGATTAAAGAGTTCCGTCTAGGTGACGGATTTCCGTCAAATGAAATTGGTCTGGAAAAAAAAAAATATATATATATATAATGATAATAATACACACAATGAAATGATTGATTATAAAAATAATATATAGTAATACATATACGTGTGAATCTGTTATATATATATATATATATATATATATATATATAGATGTATAATAATAATTTGAATATAATTGTATTTATATGTATATAGAAATAATAAGTAATATAATCACGAGTGGGCCTTGAACGTGCCGTGGCCACATGAGCGCTCCGCAAATGAATCAAGGCAATGGGAAGTAGCTGAGCTCACGCTCAAATGAAGACGCGATGAAGTTAGCATTGGTAACACGGAGGTGAAAGTATCTGGAAACTGCACGGAGCTTTTGAAAAGGAGAAGAGGAGGAAAATTGAATCTCGAACGGAGCAATAACAGCAGCAGATCCGCGGACTGGTAAGCTGGGCGCGTAATAGACTAAAGGTAATTAACGTTTACCAAACGCAATGCTATTTTACTTAACGGAATGTACAAAACGGACTTTGCTGCAACTGGGAATGGGGACAAACATGTCTTGGTGAGCTTTTGATATTGTCTTGTTTGCGATCTTCTTGCAAAACTCAGCGTGATGTAAAAGAGCCAATCAATGAGTCATGGTGCGAAAAGATGAAAGTGGCCGGTGCTTGTGCGTACTTTGCCATAAAAAATTGCATATATGGGAGTAATGAGAAAAAAGTTTTGATTCGCCACCAGCTCAAAACTGCGCACAAGGCAGCTGGTTGTGCACTTTCCCACACTTCATCTTTACCTGGTGCATCAGCAACAACTGACACTAGGCTTGCTATGGCAGACCGTGTCTGTGGCTTTATCGCAGAAAATAACGTTCAGAATATCACTACCGCTGGTACATTTATTTAAATCATTTGCAGTTGATCGAAGTGCACTGTGCACTCAAACTTGATAGGGAAACCTTTTTCTTAAATATTGACGTGTCCACAAACAAATGTGGACAGAATTGTATCGTCCTTTTGCGATATTTTGACGAGGACAGAGCCAAAGAGTTGACGCTCCATATCGCCTCAAGTAAAGCTACTCTCACTAATATTCTGTCAAAAAGTTTACTCGTTGCTTGATCCACTTATATTTCATATCAAAATACACTGTATATCTTTGAAGAATTCATTTGAGCGGTATTCAATATACAATCTATTATACAATAATATATTGTAATTACAAATATAACTTGGTCCTGCATATTACTGTGATTTACATGTGATAAATTTCCATGCGAAAATTTTCAGTCAAATCTTTTTTTTTTGCTTTAACCCCTGCTCTAACCCTCTGACTCCCTCTGGTGCTTTGTGGACTACCCATTCTGTGCAGTGACCCTGCACCAGTGTGACTCCCTCTGGTGCTTTGTGGACTACCCATTCTGTGCAGTGACCCTGCACCAGTGTGACTCCCTCTGGTGCTTTGTGGACTACCCATTCTGTGCAGTGACCCTGCACCAGTGTGACTCCCTCTGGTGCTTTGTGGACTACCCATTCTGTGCAGTGACCCTGCACCAGTGTGACTCCCTCTGGTGCTTTGTGGACTACCCATTCTGTGCAGTGACCCTGCACCAGTGTGACTCCCTCTGGTGCTTCGTGGACTACCCATTCTGTGCAGTGACCCTGCACCAGTGTGACTCCCTCTGGTGCTTTGTGGACTACCCATTCTGTGCAGTGACCCTGCACCAGTGTGACTCCCTCTGGTGCTTTGTGGACTACCCATTCTGTGCAGTGACCCTGCACCAGTGTGACTCCCTCTGGTGCTTTGTGGACTACCCATTCTGTGCAGTGACCCTGCACCAGTGTGACTCCCTCTGGTGCTTTGTGGACTACCCATTCTGTGCAGTGACCCTGCACCAGTGTGACTCCCTCTGGTGCTTTGTGGACTACCCATTCTGTGCAGTGACCCTGCACCAGTGTGACTCCCTCTGGTGCTTTGTGGACTACCCATTCTGTGCAGTGACCCTGCACCAGTGTGAGGAAGCTCACTCTACACTGTGTGAGCAGAATACACTCTGGCTGGGACTGACCGTGTCCTAACCCCCCTGCTCCAGTCTGTTCCTGTTCTGAGTGCACTGTCAATACGGGACTGACCGGTTCACATCTGCTGAGATATAGCAGATTTTTTTAAATTTAGTTTTTGTTTGCCAGTAACAGTTGCACACCCACTCTTACATTTTATTATTCCACGCCTTGATGAAGACGACAGCAGACGGTAGAGTCACGCCCCAAGGCAAGTCACATGTGCAGGTTTGAAATAACCTCAGAGGTTACTCAGACCAGCTGCTTTCATTCACTTCAGTGATAGACTCAGATCCACCTGTTCCCTAATGTTTATGTGACATCACAATGGCTCTGATGCAAGCCGCCTCTTCTCAGATGAAGTGACACGTCTTTGTGGTCCTCAGCGTTGCGTTCTGTGCGGAACACGCCCGCAGGAACGCCCTGGCTCTCCGCGCTCAGATGAAGAAGGCGTGTGCAGGGCCCACAGCTGAGTCCCTCCTGTCTCAGCTCAGTGTGTACCAGCGACCGGACGCCCACAGCCTGGACGCCCGCAGCCTGGACGCCCGCAGCCTGGACGCCCGCTCCGAGGCCAGCCGCATCTTAGGTTCGTCTCTGTCCTGTCTGTGCTCAGTGCCCTGTCCTCTTCTGTAGCGTGTGTGTGTGTGTGTGTGTGTCGCAGATGAAGACAGTGTGAGTGAAGAGGAGCAGAATCCCCTGGGACTGGATCAGACGTGGAGAGGAGAGCCGGACAGTGAGGCCGACAGCAACGACAGCGAGCACGAAGACCCGCTTAAGTAACACTCCTAAAACCTCTGTGCTGTTTAGAGATGGACCATGTTCCTCCATTTTAAAATCTAAAGCAAACACATCTTTGATTCTGCTATAAAACAATGAACCCAAAACACAATTGTTAAAGGTGCACTGTGCAGAGCATTGAGAGCATATATCATAATCTACGGTATCCTTATCCCTTATCAGCCTCTGTGTTTACAGATGGAGCACTGAGTCCTCATGGACGTTTAGAAGTCCAACTCTGAGCTTACGACAATTCAAAAACATTCTTAAAGAGGGCCTCTTAATAGATCATCAAGAAGATCCGTCTACGGGTTAGGGTGTGTAAGTGGCTCCTCCCCGGGCCGTAAGTGGCTCCTCCCCGGGCCGTAAGTGGCTCCTCCCCGGGCCGTAAGTGGCTCCTCCCCGGGCCGTAAGTGGCTCCTCCCCGGGCCGTAAGTGGCTCCTCCCCGGGCCGTAAGTGGCTCCTCCCCGGGCCGTAAGTGGCTCCTCCCCGGGCCGTAAGTGGCTCCTCCCCGGGCCGTAAGTGGCTCCTCCCCGGGCCGTAAGTGGCTCCTCCCCGGGCCGTAAGTGGCTCCTCCCCGGGCCGTAAGTGGCTCCTCCTCAGGCCGTAATTCTTTGGTCTTTAGTTTTCCTTTCTGTGCTGTTCCTGCTCATCTCTCTGGCTCCAATCAAGACGAGTGGTTTGCTGTAGCCGCTGGTTTCAAAGAGCCCACACTAACTCCTTCCTGTGGTCTGTTGGTGTCTCCACAACCAAAGGAGACGCATCAATTCAGTTGGAAGGAACACTCCTCCTGCTGCTCCTTCACCCTCCTCCTGCTGCTCCTTCACACTCCTCCTGCTGCTCCTTCACACTCCTTCTGCTGCTCCTTCACACTCCTCCTGCTGCTCCTTCACACTCCTCCTGCTGCTCCTTCACACTCCTTCTGCTGCTCCTTCACACTCCTCCTGCTGCTCCTTCACACTCCTTCTGCTGCTCCTTCACACTCCTCCTGCTGCTCCTTCACACTCCTCCTGCTGCTCCTTCACACTCCTGCTGTTGCTCCTTCACACTCCTGCTGCTCCTTCACACTCCTGCTGTTGCTCCTTCACACTCCTCCTGCTGCTCCTCCTGCTGCTCCTTCACACTCCTCCTGCTGCTCCTTCACACTCCTTCTGCTGCTCCTTCACACTCCTCCTGCTGCTCCTTCACACTCCTCCTGCTGCTCCTTCACACTCCTCCTGCTGCTCCTTCACACTCCTCCTGCTGCTCCTCCACACTGTTTCTACATTCTGGAGATGTGTGAGTACAGATAGTGTGTTGTATGTGTGTGTTGTAGACACGCAGGTGTGTACACGGCTGAGGAGGTGGCTCTGATCACACGAGACAAACTCATCCGTCTGCAGTCTCTCTACATCGATCAGTTCAAACGACTGCAGCACCTGCTCAAGGAGAAGAAACGCCGCTTCCTGCATCAGCGCAGAGTGGAGCACGATACTCTGGGTGAGAGAGACGCTGTGGGAGAGAGAGAGGCTGTGAGAGAGAGAGGCTGTGAGAGAGAGAGGCTGTGAGAGAGAGAGGCTGTGAGAGAGAGAGGCTGTGAGAGAGAGGCTGTGAGAGAGAGAGGCTGTGAGAGAGAGAGGCTGTGAGAGAGAGAGGCTGTGAGAGAGAGAGGCTGTGAGAGAGAGAGGCTGTGAGAGAGAGGCTGTGAGAGAGAGAGGCTGTGAGAGAGAGAGGCTGTGAGAGAGAGAGGCTGTGAGAGAGAGAGGCTGTGAGAGAGAGAGGCTGTGAGAGAGAGAGGCTGTGAGAGAGAGAGGCTGTGAGAGAGAGGGGCTGTGAGAGAGAGAGGCTGTGAGAGAGAGAGGCTGTGAGAGAGAGAGGCTGTGAGAGAGAGAGGCTGTGAGAGAGAGAGGCTGTGAGAGAGAGGCTGTGAGAGAGAGAGGCTGTGAGAGAGAGAGGCTGTGAGAGAGAGAGGCTGTGAGAGAGAGGCTGTGAGAGAGAGGCTGTGAGAGAGAGGCTGTGAGAGAGAGGCTGTGAGAGAGGCTGTGAGAGAGAGAGGCTGTGAGAGAGAGAGAGGCTGTGAGAGAGAGAGAGGCTGTGAGAGAGAGAGAGGCTGTGAGAGAGAGGCTGTGAGAGAGAGGCTGTGAGAGAGAGAGGCTGTGAGAGAGAGAGAGGCTGTGAGAGAGAGGCTGTGAGAGAGAGGCTGTGAGAGAGAGGCTGTGAGAGAGAGAGGCTGTGAGAGAGAGAGGCTGTGAGAGAGAGAGGCTGTGAGAGAGAGAGGCTGTGAGAGAGAGGCTGTGAGAGAGAGGCTGTGAGAGAGAGGCTGTGAGAGAGAGGCTGTGAGAGAGAGAGGCTGTGAGAGAGAGGCTGTGAGAGAGAGAGGCTGTGAGAGAGAGAGGCTGTGAGAGAGAGAGGCTGTGAGAGAGAGAGGCTGTGAGAGAGAGAGGCTGTGAGAGAGAGAGGCTGTGAGAGAGAGAGAGGCTGTGAGAGAGAGAGAGGCTGTGAGAGAGAGAGAGGCTGTGAGAGAGAGAGAGGCTGTGAGAGAGAGAGAGGCTGTGAGAGAGAGAGGCTGTGAGAGAGAGAGGCTGTGAGAGAGAGGAGGTGTGAGAGAGAGGCTGTGAGAGAGAGAGGCTGTGAGAGAGAGAGGCTGTGAGAGAGAGAGAGGCTGTGAGAGAGAGGCTGTGAGAGAGAGAGAGGCTGTGAGAGAGAGAGAGAGAGAGAGGCTGTGAGAGAGAGAGAGAGAGAGAGGCTGTGAGAGAGAGAGAGAGAGAGAGAGGCTGTGAGAGAGAGGCTGTGAGAGAGAGAGGCTGTGAGAGAGAGAGAGAGAGAGAGGCTGTGAGAGAGAGAGGCTGTGAGAGAGAGAGGCTGTGAGAGAGAGAGGCTGTGAGAGAGAGAGGCTGTGAGAGAGAGAGAGGCTGTGAGAGAGAGAGGCTGTGAGAGAGAGAGAGGCTGTGAGAGAGAGAGGCTGTGAGAGAGAGAGAGGCTGTGAGAGAGAGAGAGAGGCTGTGAGAGAGAGAGAGGCTGTGAGAGAGAGAGGCTGTGAGAGAGAGAGAGGCTGTGAGAGAGAGAGAGGCTGTGAGAGAGAGAGGCTGTGAGAGAGAGGCTGTGAGAGAGAGAGGCTGTGAGAGAGAGAGAGGCTGTGAGAGAGAGAGAGGCTGTGAGAGAGAGAGAGGCTGTGAGAGAGAGAGAGGCTGTGAGAGAGAGAGGCTGTGAGAGAGAGAGAGGCTGTGAGAGAGAGAGAGGCTGTGAGAGAGAGAGAGGCTGTGAGAGAGAGAGAGGCTGTGAGAGAGAGGCTGTGAGAGAGAGAGGCTGTGAGAGAGAGGCTGTGAGAGAGAGAGAGGCTGTGAGAGAGAGAGAGGCTGTGAGAGAGAGAGGCTGTGAGAGAGAGAGGCTGTGAGAGAGAGAGAGACGCTGTGAGAGAGAGAGAGAGAGAGGCTGTGAGAGAGAGAGGCTGTGAGAGAGAGAGGCTGTGAGAGAGAGAGAGGCTGTGAGAGAGAGAGAGGCTGTGAGAGAGAGAGGCTGTGAGAGAGAGAGGCTGTGAGAGAGAGAGAGGCTGTGAGAGAGAGAGAGGCTGTGAGAGAGAGAGAGGCTGTGAGAGAGAGAGAGGCTGTGAGAGAGAGGCTGTGAGAGAGAGAGAGGCTGTGAGAGAGAGAGGCTGTGAGAGAGAGGCTGTGAGAGAGAGAGAGGCTGTGAGAGAGAGAGGCTGTGAGAGAGAGAGGCTGTGAGAGAGAGAGGCTGTGAGAGAGAGAGGCTGTGAGAGAGAGAGGCTGTGAGAGAGAGAGAGGCTGTGAGAGAGAGGCTGTGAGAGAGAGGCTGTGAGAGAGAGGCTGTGAGAGAGAGAGAGGCTGTGAGAGAGAGAGAGGCTGTGAGAGAGAGAGGCTGTGAGAGAGAGAGGCTGTGAGAGAGAGAGAGACGCTGTGAGAGAGAGAGAGAGAGAGGCTGTGAGAGAGAGAGGCTGTGAGAGAGAGAGGCTGTGAGAGAGAGAGAGGCTGTGAGAGAGAGAGGCTGTGAGAGAGAGAGGCTGTGAGAGAGAGAGGCTGTGAGAGAGAGAGAGGCTGTGAGAGAGAGAGGCTGTGAGAGAGAGAGAGAGGCTGTGAGAGAGAGAGGCTGTGTGAGAGAGAGAGGCTGTGAGAGAGAGGCTGTGAGAGAGAGAGGCTGTGAGAGAGAGAGGCTGTGAGAGAGAGAGGCTGTGAGAGAGAGGCTGTGAGAGAGAGAGGCTGTGAGAGAGAGAGGCTGTGAGAGAGAGAGAGGCTGTGAGAGAGAGGCTGTGAGAGAGAGGCTGTGAGAGAGAGGCTGTGAGAGAGAGAGGCTGTGAGAGAGAGAGGCTGTGAGAGAGAGAGAGGCTGTGAGAGAGAGGCTGTGAGAGAGAGAGGCTGTGAGAGAGAGGCTGTGAGAGAGAGAGAGGCTGTGAGAGAGAGAGGCTGTGAGAGAGAGAGGCTGTGAGAGAGAGGCTGTGAGAGAGAGAGGCTGTGAGAGAGAGAGGCTGTGAGAGAGAGAGGCTGTGAGAGAGAGAGGCTGTGAGAGAGAGAGAGGCTGTGAGAGAGAGGCTGTGAGAGAGAGAGAGGCTGTGAGAGAGAGAGGCTGTGAGAGAGAGAGAGACGCTGTGAGAGAGAGAGAGAGAGAGAGGCTGTGAGAGAGAGAGAGAGACGCTGAGAGAGGCTGTGAGAGAGAGAGACGCTGAGAGAGGCTGTGAGAGAGAGAGAGAGAGGCTGTGAGAGAGAGAGACGCTGAGAGAGGCTGTGAGAGAGAGAGACGCTGAGAGAGGCTGTGAGAGAGAGAGAGAGAGAGAGAGAGGCTGTGAGAGAGAGAGAGGCTGTGAGAGAGAGAGGCTGTGAGAGAGAGAGAGAGGCTGTGAGAGAGAGAGAGGCTGTGAGAGAGAGAGGCTGTGAGAGAGAGAGGCTGTGAGAGAGAGAGGCTGTGAGAGAGAGAGGCTGTGAGAGAGAGAGAGGCTGTGAGAGAGAGAGGCTGTGAGAGAGAGAGAGGCTGTGAGAGAGAGAGAGAGGCTGTGAGAGAGAGAGGCTGTGAGAGAGAGAGGCTGTGAGAGAGAGAGGCTGTGAGAGAGAGAGGCTGTGAGAGAGAGAGGCTGTGAGAGAGAGAGAGGCTGTGAGAGAGAGAGGCTGTGAGAGAGAGAGGCTGTGAGAGAGAGAGGCTGTGAGAGAGAGAGGCTGTGAGAGAGAGAGGCTGTGAGAGAGAGAGAGAGGCTGTGAGAGAGAGAGAGGCTGTGAGAGAGAGAGGCTGTGAGAGAGAGGCTGTGAGAGAGAGAGAGAGGCTGTGAGAGAGAGAGGCTGTGAGAGAGAGAGGCTGTGAGATGAGAGAGAGAGAGAGGCTGTGGAGAGAGAGAGCTGTGAGAGAGAGGCTGTGAGAGAGAGAGGCTGTGAGAGAGAGGCTGTGTGAGAGAGAGGCTGTGAGAGAGAGAGGCTGTGAGAGAGAGAGGCTGTGATAGAGAGAGAGAGGCTGTGAGAGAGAGAGAGAGGCTGCTGATGGAGAGAGTGGCGTGTGAGAGAGAGAGGGCTTGTGAGAGAGAGCGGCTGTGAGAGAGAGAGGCAGTGAGAGAGGGAGAGAGAGAGAGGCTGTGAGAGAGAGAGGCTGTGAGAGAGAGAGAGAGCTGTGAGAGAGAGAGAGAGAGAGAGGGCTGTGAGAGAGTGAAGAGAGAGAGAGACTGCTGAGAGAAGGCTGATGAGAGAGAGAGGACGCTGAGAGAGGCCTGTGATGAGAGAGAGAGTGAGAGAGGCTGTGTGAGAGAGAGGCTGTGAGAGAGAGAGCTGTGAGGCTTGAGAGAGAGAGGCTGTGAGAGAGAGAGAGAGAGAGAGGCTGTGAGAGAGAGAGGCCTGTGAGAGAGAGAGAGAGGCTGTGAGAGAGAGGCTGTGAGAGAGAGAGGCTGTGAGAGAGAGAGGCTGTGAGAGAGAGAGAGGCTGTTGAGTGAGAGAGAGAGAGAGGCTGTGAGAGAGAGGCTGTGAGAGAGAGAGGCTGTGAGAGAGAGAGGCTGGTTGAGAGAGAGAGGTGGAGAGAGGAGGCTGTGAGAGAGAGAGAGGCTGTGAGAGAGAGAGGCTGTGAGAGAGAGAGGCTGTGAGAGAGAGAGGCTGTGAGAGAGAGAGGCTGTGAGAGAGAGAGAGGCGAGGGTGAGAGAGAGAGAGAGAGAGAGATGCTGTGAGAGAGAGGCTGAGAGAGAGAGAGGCTGTGAGAGAGAGAGGCTGTGAGAGAGAGGCTGTGAGAGAGAGGCTGTGAGAGAGAGAGAGGCTGTGAGAGAGAAGAGGCTGTGAGAGAGAGAGCTGTGAGAGAGAGGCTGTGAGAGAGAGAGGCTGTGAGAGAGAGGCTGTGAGAGAGAGAGGCTGTGAGAGAGAGAGGCTGTGAGAGAGAGAGAGGCTGTGAGAGAGAGGCTGTGAGAGAGAGAGGCTGTGAGAGAGAGGCTGTGAGAGAGAGAGGCTGTGAGAGAGAGAGGCTGTGAGAGAGAGAGGCTGTGAGAGAGAGAGAGGCTGTGAGAGAGAGGCTGTGAGAGAGAGAGGCTGTGAGAGAGAGGCTGTGAGAGAGAGAGAGGCTGTGAGAGTGAGGCTGAGAGAGAGAGAGAGGCTGTGAGAGAGGCTGTGAGAGAGAGAGAGAGAGAGGCTGTGAGAGAGAGAGAGAGACTCTGAGAGAGGCTGTGAGAGAGAGAGAGACGTCTGAGAGGCTGTGAGAGAGAGAGAGAGAGAGAGGCTGTGAGAGAGAGAGAGAGAGGCTGTGAGAGAGAGAGAGAAGAGGCTGTGAGAGAGAGAGAGACGCTGAGAGAGGCTGTGAGAGAGAGAGAGTTGAGAGAGAGAGGCTCGTGAGAGAGAGAGAGGCTGTGAGAGAGAGAGGCTGTGAGAGAGAGAGAGGCTGTGAGAGAGGTCTGTGAGAGAGAGAGAGACGCTGTGAGAGAGAGAGGCTGTGAGAGAGAGAGGCTGTGAGAGAGAGAGGCTGTGAGAGAGAGAGAGAGGCTGTGAGAGAGAGAGGCTGTGAGAGAGAGAGGCTGTGAGAGAGAGAGGCTGTGAGAGAGAGGTGTGTGAGAGAGAGAGGCTGTGAGAGAGAGGCTGTGAGAGAGAGGCTGTGAGAGAGAGGGGCTGTGAGAGAGAGAGGCTGTGAGAGAGAGAGAGGCTGTGAGAGAGAGGCTGTGAGAGAGAGAGGCTGTGAGAGAGAGAGGCTGTGAGAGAGAGAGAGGCTGTGAGAGAGAGAGGCTGTGAGAGAGAGAGGCTGTGAGAGAGAGGCTGTGAGAGAGAGAGGCTGTGAGAGAGAGAGGCTGTGAGAGAGAGAGGCTGTGAGAGAGAGAGAGGCTGTGAGAGAGAGGCTGTGAGAGAGAGAGAGGCTGTGAGAGAGAGAGAGACGCTGTGAGAGAGAGAGAGAGACGCTGAGAGAGGCTGTGAGAGAGAGAGAGACGCTGAGAGAGGCTGTGAGAGAGAGAGAGAGACGCTGAGAGAGGCTGTGAGAGAGAGAGAGAGAGAGAGGCTGTGAGAGAGAGAGACGCTGAGAGAGGCTGTGAGAGAGAGAGAGAGACGCTGAGAGAGGCTGTGAGAGAGAGAGAGAGAGAGAGAGAGGCTGTGAGAGAGAGAGAGGCTGTGAGAGAGAGAGGCTGTGAGAGAGAGAGAGAGGCTGTGAGAGAGAAGAGAGGCTGTGAGAGAGAGAGGCTAAGGCTGAGAGAGAGAGGCTGTGAGAGAGAGAGAGAGAGGCTGTGAGAGAGAGAGAGAGAGAGAGGCTGTGAGAGAGAGACGCTGTGAGAGAGAGAGGCTGTGAGAGAGAGAGGCTGTGAGAGAGAGAGAGAGCTGTGAGAGAGAGAGAGAGGCTGTGAGAGAGAGAGAGGCTGTGAGAGAGAGAGAGAGGCTGTGAGAGAGAGAGGCTGTGAGAGAGAGAGAGGCTGTGAGAGAGAGAGCTGAGAGAGAGAGGCTGTGAGAGAGAGAGAGAGGCTGTGAGAGAGAGAGAGGCTGTGAGAGAGAGAGAGGCTGTGAGAGAGAGAGAGAGAGAGAGAGAGAGGCTGTGAGAGAGAGGCTGTGAGAGAGAGAGAGAGAGAGAGAGAGAGAGAGAGAGGCTGTGAGAGAGAGGCTGTGAGAGAGAGAGAGACGCTGTGAGAGAGAGAGGCTGTGAGAGAGAGACGCTGTGAGAGAGAGAGAGACGCTGAGAGAGGCTGTGAGAGAGAGAGAGAGAGAGAGAGAGAGGCTGTGAGAGAGAGAGAGAGAGAGAGAGGCTGTGAGAGAGAGAGGCTGTGAGAGAGAGAGAGGCTGTGAGAGAGAGAGAGGCTGTGAGAGAGAGAGAGGCTGTGAGACGCTGTGAGAGAGGCTGTGAGAGAGAGAGACGCTGTGGAGAGAGAGGCTGTGAGAAGAGAGAGAGACGCTGTGAGAGAGACGCTGTGAGAGAGAGAGACGCTGTGGGAGAGAGACGCTGTGAGAGAGAGGCTGTGAGAGAGAGGCTGTGAGAGAGAGGCTGTGAGAGAGACGCTGTGAGAGAGAGAGAGGCTGTGAGAGAGAGAGAGAGACGCTGTGAGAGAGAGGCTGTGAGAGAGAGAGGCTGTGAGAGAGAGGCTGTGAGAGAGAGGCTGTGAGAGAGAGAGGCTGTGAGAGAGAGGCTGTGAGAGAGAGACGCTGTGAGAGAGACGCTGTTCGAGAGAGAGAGAGATGCTGTGAGAGAGAGAGAGGCTGTGAGAGAGAGATGGCTGTGAGAGAGACGCTGTGAGAGAGACGCTGTGAGAGAGAGAGAGATGCTGTGAGAGAGAGAGAGGCTGTGAGAGAGAGAGGCTGTGAGAAGACGCTGTGAGAGAGAGGCTGTGAGAGAGAGACGCTGTGAGAGAGAGAGAGACGCTGTGAGAGAGAGAGAGGCTGTGAGAGAGAGAGGCTGTGAGAGAGAGAGAGAGACGCTGTGAGAGAGGCTGTGAGAGAGGCTGTGAGAGAGTGAGAGGCTGTGAGAGAGAGAGAGAGGAGAGAGAGGCTGTGAGAGAGAGAGAGGCTGTGAGAGAGAGAGACGCTGTGAGAGAGAGGGGCGCTCTCCTGTCTTGCCTTTGTCTGGGCCTCTCTGGTGTTGCCTATTGTTAGTTTGGGCCTCTCTGGTGTTGCCTAGTGTTAGTTTGGGCCTCTCTGGTGTTGCCTAGTGTTAGTTTGGGCCTCTCTTGTCTTGCCTAGTGTTAGTTTGGGCCTCTCTTGTCTTGCCTAGTGTTAGTTTGGGCCTCTCTTGTCTTGCCTAGTGTTAGTTTGAGCCTCTCTGGTGTTGCCTAGTGTTAGTTTGGGCCTCTCCTGTCTTGCCTAGTGTTAGTTTGGGCCTCTCTTGTCTTGCCTAGTGTTAGTTTGAGCCTCTCTGGTGTTGCCTAGTGTTAGTTTGGGCCTCTCCTGTCTTGCCTAGTGTTAGTTTGGGCCTCTCTTGTCTTGCCTAGTGTTAGTTTGGGCCTCTCTGGTGTTGCCTAGTGTTAGTTTGGGCCTCTCCTGTCTTGCCTAGTGTTAGTTTGGGCCTCTCTCTGGTGTTGCCTAGTGTTAGTTTGGGCCTCTCTCTGGTGTTGCCTAGTGTTAGTTTGGGCCTCTCTTGTCTTGCCTAGTGTTAGTTTGGGCCTCTCTTGTCTTGCCTAGTGTTAGTTTGGGCCTCTCTGGTGTTGCCTAGTGTTAGTTTGGGCCTCTCCTGTCTTGCCTAGTGTTAGTTTGGGCCTCTCTCTGGTGTTGCCTAGTGTTAGTTTGGGCCTCTCTTGTCTTGCCTAGTGTTAGTTCGGGCCTCTCTTGTCTTGCCTAGTGTTTGGGCCTCTCTCTGGTGTTGCCTAGTGTTAGTTTGGGCCTCTCTCTGGTCTTGCCTAGTGTTAGTTCAGGCCTCTCCTGTCTTGCCTAGTGTTAGTTCGGGCCTCTCCTGTCTTGCCTAGTGTTAGTTTGGGCCTCTCCTGTCTTGCCTATTGTTAGTTTGGGCCTCTCTCTTGTCTTGCCTAGTGTTAGTTTGGGCCTCTCTCTGGTGTTGCCTAGTGTTAGTTTGGGCCTCTCTCTGGTGTTGCCTAGTGTTAGTTTGGGCCTCTCTCTGGTGTTGCCTAGTGTTAGTTTGGGCCTCTCTCTGGTGTTGCCTAGTGTTAGTTTGGGCCTCTCTCTGATGTTGCCTAGTGTTAGTTTGGGCCTCTCTCTTGTCTTGCCTAGTGTTAGTTTGGGCCTCTCTCTGGTGTTGCCTAGTGTTAGTTTGGGCCTCTCTCTGGTGTTGCCTAGTGTTAGTTCGGGCCTCTCTCTGGTGTTGCCTAGTGTTTGGGCCTCTCTCTGGTGTTGCCTAGTGTTAGTTCGGGCCTCTCTGGTGTTGCCTAGTGTTTGGGCCTCTCTCTGGTGTTGCCTAGTGTTAGTTCGGGCCTCTCTGGTGTTGCCTAGTGTTGGCCTCTCTCTGGTGTTGCCTAGTGTTAGTTTGGGCCTCTCTGGTGTTGCCTAGTGTTAGTTCGGGCCTCTCTTGTCTTGCCTAGTGTTTGGGCCTCTCTCTGGTGTTGTAAATCCTGGCCCAGACTGATTGTTATTGTGTTGTTCAGGGAGCAGTCTGCTGACGGGGCCTGAGGGTCTGTCTCTGAAAGAGCGTGACAATCTAAAGAAGCTCAAAGCGCTGCGCAGATATCGGCGCCGCTACGGTACTGAGGCCCTACTGCACCGGCAGCTGAGGGAGCGGCGGCAGGCGGTCACCGACGGGGCGCCACAGGTAACCCACATTTACTACGTGAACGCCACCTGCTGGCTGCTCCATGTACATCACTGTGTATATATAAATTATATTATATTTCGGGTCACAGCAGCAGAGGTGGATCTTGGTTCAGACCATTTTCTCCTCTCTGGTCCACAGTAAAATGCTTCATAAGCGTTTTTCAAAAGTTAGCATCGTTAAAGCAATTTCTTCTTATTGAAATGAGAAATAAAAATGTTTAAATGTCATGTATCAGTTTGATGAATTCCTAGGTCTCGTATCAGTATCTGCAAGTCCTCACATTAAGGTGCATCCCTAGTATAATGTTCTAGATCCGAATGGTGCGTTCACACCGGACTTAACTTCGGCGTCAAAAGCGTCAGGTTTGCATTGAAAGTGAAGCGCGTCAGGTGAAGCCGAGAGCCCCGGCGTCACTTGACGCGCGAAACGCTCGCGTATCAAAACAATCCCTCTGAAGCTGAGCAAAGCTGAGCTTTTGAAGCTTTGACGCTCAGCCAATCAGGAGACGAGCAGCAGCAGAGGGTCTGTCTCTGTCATGGAGAGAAGTCATGTATCTGCTGCTGCTGTTTTATTGTCATTAATGTTGTTAGTAATATTATTAGTATGATAGTAACGTTCTTAATCAGTGAGTAACAAAACCATTGTACACATGTTGTGAAGTAAACGTCATTTATTTATTATAAGAACAAGCTGACGATGAGTCTGGCTCAGAGCGAGAGCGAAGCAGCTCCAGGCGGGGAGAGGGGAGAGAGAGGCGGGGAGAGAGAGGCGGGGAGAGGGGAGAGAGAGGCGGGGAGAGGGGAGAGAGAGGCGGGGAGAGGGGAGAGAGAGCGGGGGCGGAGGAGAGGCGGGGAGAGAGAGGCGGGGAGAGAGAGGCGGGGAGAGAGGGCGGGGAGAGAGAGGCGGGGAGAGAGAGGCGGGGAGAGAGAGGCGGGGAGAGAGAGGCGGGGAGAGAGAGGCGGGGAGAGAGAGGCGGGGAGAGAGAGGCGGGGAGAGAGAGGCGGGGAGAGAGAGGCGGGGAGAGAGAGGCGGGGAGAGGGGAGAGAGAGGGGCGGGGAGAGGGGAGAGAGAGGCGGGAGAGAGAGGCGGGGAGAGAGAGGCGGGGAGAGAGAGGGGGAGAGAGAGGCGGGGAGAGAGAGGCGGGGGAGAGAGAGGCGGGGGGAGAGAGAGGCGGGGAGAGAGAGGCGGGGGAGAGAGAGGCGGGGAGAGAGGCGGGGAGAGAGAGGCGGGGAGAGAGAGGCGGGGGAGAGAGAGGCGGGGAGAGAGAGGCGGGGAGAGAGAGGCGGGGAGAGAGAGGCGGGGAGAGAAGAGGCGGGGGAGAGAGAGGCGGGGAGAGAGAGGCGGGGGAGAGAGAGGCGGGGGAGAGAGAGGCGGGGAGAGAGAGGCGGGGAGAGAGAGGCGGGGAGAGAGAGGCGGGGGGAGAGAGGGGGGGGAGAGAGAGGCGGGGAGAGGGTAGAGAGAGAGGCGGGGAGAGGGGAGAGAGAGGGGGGGAGGAAGGGGAGAGAGAGGCGGGGAGAGGGAGAGAGGAGAGAGAGGGAGAGGGGGGGGGGAGAGAGAGGCGGGGGAGGAGAGAGGCGGGGGGAGAGGGGAGAGAGAGGAGGGGAGAGAGAGGAGGGGGGAGAGAGAGGCGGGGAGAGGGGAGAGAGAGGAGGGGGGAGAGAGAGGCGGGAGAGGGGATAGAGAGAGGGTGGGGGGGGGGGGGGGGGGGAGGAGAGGAGGGGAGAGGGGATAGGAGAGGAGGGGAGAGAGGGATAGAGAGGTCGGGAGAGGGGGGGGGGAGATCGGGGCTGGGTCTGGCGGCAACTACGCTTCAAGCGTTTGTGTTGCGGCATCTGGGCTTTGTTCTCTTGTTCAAGACTCTCGATTGTTGGTATTCTCACTAGGTGCGTGCGTGTTGCAGGGGTAGGGGGAGAGGGGAGGAGCCTTTCTACTCTGTCGTGTCTCTTTTCTTGCTTTTCCTGGCGTCGAGTTGCTTCTCTTGAGCCTTCTTTTGCTACTATCTTTCCTCGCGTGATCTTGTCTCTCTTTTTTCTCGCTCGTTTGCTTTTAGATCGCCCTCTGTGGTCTGCCTACGCTAGCGCTCTTGTTTTCTGGCTCCTGTCGTCGATTTTTGGTTCGCCGGGTGAGGCTGTGTCGCTGCGCTGTGTTTCTGGCTTTTGGGGGTGTTTTGGGTTGTTCGGATGGGGGCGCGCGCCCTGTGGCTCGATTCGTATGGAGCAGTGGGACTGGGCGTGGGCCGGGGTGCTTGGCTCTGCTGCGTGCGATTATTTTTCTCTTGGCGCGTCTCGTCTGAAGTTGCGGGGCCGCGGAACGGGGTGTGCGCTCGACCTCCTGGCCTGCTGCTTTTGTCGTCTCTCGTGGCGCTCGTCTCGCTGTCTCTCTTATTCTGGGCGGGTCTCTGTTAGTTGTTCTCGATTTGTCGGGGCCTCGTCGCTTTTTGCTTCAGCTGCTTCGCGACGCTGTAGGTTCTATTCTTCTTGTTTCTGCTGCTTACTGTCTTCTGTAAACGTAATGCTTGATTTCGTCGCTGTCGGCTGCTTTTCTCTCGTATAGCTTCTCTCTGGATTTGAGGCTCGAGCCGCATAGCACCCTGTTATATGTCACTCAGCCCATCGTGGCGCGCATGACCTTTTGAAGACCCCACCTTCCCTCGCACCACCCACCGACCGCCGCTACCTGGAGTAGCCAGAGATGTACCATCTTGACACACGCACTGCAAATGATCCCCGCTCGCCTCCCAATTCAGTTGTGTTGCACGGCACGCCAGGCCCACGTAATAGATAAGCAAACTCACGCTACGAAGCAAATCGCTGCCAAATCACGATTATTTTGGCTTTAGTATAACACAATAAAAGCGTCGCTAGCTCATTGGAAAACGACACCGTTGTCTGACAACAGAGAATGCTCCTCCCACCGGCGACATGATCGTCAAAAGCTTCAAACCCACAGCCAACATTGACCAAAAATAAGGAGCCCTGCGTCAGAATAAGCAGCGTCAAAGCTTTTTTGAAGCTTCCTGAACGCACCTATGAGACTTCAAAAAGTGTAGTGCTGTCAGAAAGCACATAAAACGATGGATCAGATGGTGATGGAAAACTCCTTCATCTTATAAAAAACCCACACCAACAACCCCACACAAAAAAACACACCCCCCCCCCCCCCCAACAACCACCCCACCCCCCCCCCCACACCCCCCCAACACCCCCCACCACCCCCAAAACCCAAACCCCCCCACCACACCCCCCACACCCCCCCAACCCCCCCCCCCCCCCACAACCCCCCCCCCACCACCCCCACAAAAACAAACAAACCACAACCACCAAAACACAATCACCCACACCCCCCCAAAACAAAAAAACCATCCAACATTACCAACTCCACCCCCCACACCCCTACCCCCCACCAAACCCCACAACACAACCCCACACTAAACCCCCCAAACTACCCCCAACTACAAAAAATCCCTAACAAAACACCCCACCATATACAACACCAACCCAACAAAACCCATCATTCTATCCCCTCATCTACTCCACATCTAAAAAAAAACCCCAACAATAATTATTTCCACCCTTTCCCCCCCAAAATTCAATAACTACACACCCCACCAAAAATAACCCCCCCCCCCAACAAACATACCTAATCTCACAAAAAACCCCCAAACAACACCACCCACCACCCACACCATACCCCCCCCCCCCCCCCACCCCCCCCCCCCCAACCCACACCAACACCCACCCCACCCCCCCAACCCACAACCCCCACCCCACCACACAACCCCCCACCCCCACCCCCCCACCCACACCCCACCCACCACCCCCAAACAACCCACCCCCACCCCACCCCCCCCCCCCCCCAACCCAAAACCCCCCCCCCCCACACCACACCCCAAACACACACACCCCCCAAAACCACCCCCCCCCCCCCCCCCCCCCCCCCCCCCCACCCCCCCCCCCCCCAAAAAAAAAACAACACCAACTCCACCCCAACCCCCCCAACCCCCACCCCACCCCACACCAACAACCCAACCACCCCCACCCCCAACCCCCCCCCCACCCCCCCCCCCCCCCCCCACCCACCCCCCCCACAAACCCCACAAAACCCACCCCCCACCAACCCCCACCCCCCCCCCCCCCCCCCCCCAACCCCAAAAAACACCCCAACCAACCCCCCCACACACCCCCACCACCACCACACAAACCCCCACCACCCCACCACCCCCCAACACCACACCCCCACCACCAACACCCCACCACCCCCACACCCACCCTCCCAAACCCACCCCCCCAAACACACCCACCACCAACCCCCAAAAACACACCCCACCACAACACCACCCCAAACCCAACCCCCCACCCCCCCCCCACACCCCCCCCCCCTCCCAACCCACACCAACCCACCCCCACCCACCAACACCCCACCAACCCCCCCCCCCAAAACCCCCCCCCCCCCCCCAAACACCACCCAACCACACCACAACCACCCCCAACCACCCACACCCCCCAAACACAAAACAAACACACAAAAACCACAAACCACCAACCCCCCCCCACCCACCCCACCAACAACCCCACCCCCCCCAACCCCCCACCAACCCCCCCCCACCCAACACACCAAACACCCACAACCCCCCCCCCCACCCCCCAACCCCCACACCCCAAACCCCCACCCCACCCCAACACCCCAACACACACAACCCACCACCCCAACCACCCCCACACACCCCCCACACCCCCACACACCCCAAACCCAACACCCACCACCCCCCACCCACACCACCCACCAAACAAAAAAACCCAACCACCCAACAACCCCCCCCCCCCCCCCCCCACACACCCACACCACCCCCACCAAACCCCCCCCCCCCCCCCCCCCCCCCCCCACCACCCACCACCCACCAAAACACACCCCCCCCCCACCCCCACCCCCCCCCCCAACACCACACCCACCCCCACCCAACCAAACCCCACCACCCCCCCACAAACCCCCCCCCCCCCCAACACCACCACCCACACCACACCACAACCACCCCCAACACCCACACCCCCCACACAACAAAACACCCACCCAAAACCCCAAACAACCCCAACCCCCAACAAAACACCACCCACCCCCACCCCCCCCCACCAACCCCACCCCCCACAAACACCCCCCCCACAACCACAACACAACCCCACACCCCCCCCCCCCAAAAACCCAACCCACCCACCCAAAACCCCTCCCCACACCCCACCCCCCCACTCACCACCCACAAACCCCACACACCAAAACCCAACACCCCACCCACCCCCCACCCACAACCAACCCCACAAAACAAACCAAAAACCAAACCACCACACTCAAACCACACCCCACCCAACCCACCCCCCCACAACCCCCACACCACACCACCCCCACCAAACCCACCCCACCCCCCATACCCCCCCCCCCCAACCCAAACCACACAAACACCCACACCCAAAACCCCACCCCCAAACCCCCACCAACACCCCCCCACACAACACAACACAACACCAACCCCCCCCAAAACACACCACCCCCCCCACACCCCCAACCCCCCCAACCCCCCCACCCCACCCCCCCCCCCCCCAACAAAAACAAACCCACCAACCCAAAAACCCCACCCCCCCCCCACACTCCCCCCCACCCAACCCACCACCCCCCCCACACCCCCCCCCCCCCCCACCCCCCCAACCACACCCCCCCACACCACCACCCAACCCCCCCCCCCCCCCCCACCCCCACCACCCCAACAACACACCCACAAACCCAACACCCAAAATACCCCCCCCCCAACCATCCAACCCCCCCCCACCCCCCCACCCCAAACCCCCCAAACAACACCAAACCCAAACACACCACCTCACACCCCAACCCAAAACCACCCCCAACAACAACCAACCCCCCCCCCCCCCCCCCCACCCCCCCCAATACAAACCCACCCACACCCCAACCACACCCCCAAAACACCCCAAACACACCCAAACACCCAACCCCAACACCACAATCCACACACAACCCTAAACCAACCCCCCCACCCCAAAACCCCCCCCAACCCCCCAACCCCCCCACCACCCACCCCAACCCCCCCCCCCCACCCAACCCCCCCCAAACCCCCACCCCCCCACACCCCCCCCACCCCATAAAACCCCACCCCCACCCCCCACACCCACCACCACCCCAAACACACCACCCCCCCACACCCCCCCAAACCCCCCCCCCACCCCAACACCCCCCCCCAAAAACAACCCCCACCCCCACCACCCCCCCCACCCACACCCCCCCACCAACACCCCCCCCCCCACACACCCCCCCAACCAACCCCCCCCCACACCAACCACCCCCACCCACCCCCACAACCAACACACATACCACCCCCCCCCAACCCACACAACCCACCCACCCCCACCACCCACCCCCCCCCCAAACCCCAAAAACATCCAAAACCACCAAACAACCCCCCCAAAAACACACCCCCCAACACCCCCCACCAAAACCACAACCCACCACACACCACCACCCCCCCCACACACCACCCAACCCCCCAAAACCCCCCACCCACAACCCCCCCCCACACCCCACCCCACCACCCCCAAAAACACCCCACCCCCCCCACCCCCCCACCCCCAACACCCCCCCACCACCCCCCCCCCCCCCCCCACACCCCACCCCCCCCCCCACCACCAAAACCCCAACCACACAAACCACCCAACCCCCCACCCACCCAACCCCACCAACAAACCCCACCCCTAAAACCCACCCACCACCATACCCACCCTCCAAAACCCACCAAAAAACACCCCCAACCCTACCATACACCACCACTAAATTACACCACCAATTACCACCACCAAAAACCAACACATACAACCACACTCCCAACAAACCCACCTACCCAATAACCTACCCCTACCCCCCCCCCCCCTATTACACCACCCCTACCAAAACCCCCCACCCCACCAACACCCACCCAACCAAAAACCACCCCCCCCCCCACAAATCCCACCAACAAACCCAACCCACCCAAACCAAAACCCCCACACAATCCACAAACCCAAACAACAACACCCCAACCCCAACACAACCCACACCCCCACCCACACCCCCCCCAAAACCCACCACCCACCCACAACCACCCACAAACCCACCCCACCCCCACCCAACCCCCAAACACCCACCAACAAAACATCACACCCCATAACACTCCCCCAACCAACCCAACATCCCCACCCTCCAACCAATCCCCTACCCCCCCCAAACCATCACAACACACACCATAACACAACCAAAACC